AGTGCAATTCCTTGATGATGAATGGCTGACGCCATTGGCTGATGATAATGATCTACCGATCTACTGTAGATGTCGACCCAGCACCCCATACTTTTCGGTTGTGACTGGTCTGTAATCTGATCTGCGTGTGCTATGTTTGTGCTGTTCTTGTTGTCTACAAGCTCGATCACGACTTCACTTCAGCTTCATTTAGTCTGCCCATCCCTCCCCTTCCCCCTTCTCCTTGGCGTTCGACCTCCTATCATTCATTAGCCGTTCAGGCAAGGTCAAGACAATAGCGGTCTACCTCGAGTCACGTCGCGAATAATTCGACATTTTTAACACATCACCATCATTTCTATTCTAGGCGATTCCATCTCAAGCCCGCCTTCACTCCAAGGTCGACCTACTACACAGCTTTAGTCTCTCCGTTGGTTTGGGAATCATCTCAGGGTCGACATTGATTCGTGAGCTAAGCCCAGTTATAATCCTAAGTCTACAATTTGCTTTGATTTACCGTCTATCCACTAGTGCAGCGATTTTCAACCGGTGTAGATGCCGCAAGAGATTTTTAGGGATGCCGCGATAGAATTTGAGTTGACAAAAAAAATATATAATTTTGGAATAACGTCGATTTTGTGAAAACCAAATATTAACAATTGCTAGAGTATTATAATATTTCATGAGGGAACAGAACAGCTCCTGAATACAACCATTCTTTAGTTCACCCCTACCAACCCACACGTACCGTCCGATCCTCCAACTCTGGTCTTCTACACATACCGCTTTCAAAGAAATCTTGGGGGAACGAGCTTTTGCTCATGCCGGACCAGCCCTGTGGAATTCACTTCCACAGGAGCTGACGAACTCCGACTCTTCAACGTCTTTTAAGAGCAACCTTAAATCCCATTTGTTCAATTTCGTGTTTTGAAGACAGACATTCATTCATTCTTTCATTTTTGCATTTTCTTTCTTATGTAAATGTACACGATTCTTTGTCATGATGTAATGTGTTCCCTAATATTTTGAAGCGCCTTGAGCTTTTAATTAAAATGGATAATGGCGCTATATTAATCTCATGTATTATTATTATTATTAAAAGATAACGAATGGTCTGCGTACACTTTTTTTTGGGGGGGGGGGGGCGGGGGGGGGGGGGGCACGTCCCTCTTTGCCAGTACATTTTTGGTGAATTTGGGGCTGAGTTCAACATTTTTTTTTGGCCGGGGGGCACGTGCCCCCTGTGCCCCCCCCCCTGGATCCGCCACTGATGTTTAGTCACAATTTTTATCGGATAATGAACGAGACCTTTTCAATACTTTTCACGCTGATGTCATACGTATATAATACACATAACGATAGTATTTAAATTTAATTTTTCATGAAATGATTATCGGATAATGTTCATATGGAAGGTGGAAACCTAAGTTATTCAGAGAAAGAATCATAATCCTGATATGCAAAGCCCACTTTGACAAATTATAATTTGAAGTGATTACACTAAAAAATTGTACTTCTACAAAAGATTCAGAATCTTGATTGTGTTTTTGTTTTCTTCATTACTATAAGTACGATCCTAAGGAAAACAACTAGGGCATGTTGTCATTATTCTCGTTGTGTATAAAGACCCCTTATCCCAACAAAAGAAAGTAGTATCAAAGGCATGAACCTTTGAACTCAAATCAACAGAATTAAGGGCAGAAGGGTAACCTAGCTTGGAAAAACATCTTCCAAATATCTCTTTTTCGATATCCCTTCTTTATCTGTCCAAATCATGGTATTTTGTATGGGTTCTTACACTTTCACTCCATACCCACACTGAGAATCGATTTAGAGGCCTTTGATTGCAAAGTTTCGTATAAAAAATGAAGGTGTAATGTGTATTTAATGTTGTAAATAACATTGAACCATTGTTTAGTGGGCGTTTAGTTAGAATGAGAATCCTGAAGAATGACGTCGATCATTGGGGCGCCGTGGCAGTTGCACATTCCTTATCTGCTACCTGTTGTCGGTAAATCTATTATACAACCCTTTCAACAAAAACACACAGTTTTCCACCAATTCCAATATAAGAATTTTCTAGGGTTGGGAGTGCGAATAGTTAAACTAAAAATATGCTGCGAAATGTAACAGTTCTCGGGGCCCGAATTTGATATATATATATATATATATATTTTTTTTTTTTTTGGGGGGGGGGGAGGAGGGGACGATGGTAATGCAACCGCCCTTCCACCCATATGCAGCAGCGTTTCACTCCTCAATTTCCTCCCAAAACTAAGAGCATTATTTTTGTTTACCTCATAAGCCGCCCAGGGAATTCGAAATCTTAATCAGGTGTGTAATGGAATCTCTCTTCCTTCACCACCTTGAGGTCTTTTCTTTTCAATTTCCAATATTAAGAACTCTATTGTGCTTTATAACTATTCCCATAGTCCCCCCGCCCCCGCTCTGCCAGCGCTTCGCAACGGTTAATGGGACCCCAACTTTAGACATGCGCGACAATTCACCGGCCCTCAATAGTGAAAAATTCTTGACCAGACCCTGCAAATCAAGAGCGAATTTATAGGGGAGGTGGGGCGCAACGAAGTGGAAGCAACGCAGGGCCAGTTAATATTCACACCATTCGAAGACGCTTGATAGGCACTCCCTCAAAATATCGGGGGCGCAAAGTTACCAAACATTAGAAATATTCGCATGTTAACCCTTTCATAACACTATTTCTAACTTGCGATTTACCCTGGATTGAGGGCGCATATAAGGACCCTAATTTCTCCCCCTTTTGTTCCCTGTCTTCTCCTTTCCTTTTTGCATTTTTGGGTCCCCTGCGAGTGTCGTCCGGCCGAGCACGTGGTCCCCTCTGCACCCCTAGATCATAGCCCTAGCTTCACCACTGCGAGTGACATACCTTTAATCTAGTACACACGTCAAAGAGTGTGCGCCAGTCCTGAGGTGATGACCTCAAAAAGAGATGACCTGAATATGATATCATCATCATCATAATACAGTTAGCGAATGTACGTAGAAACAGCATGGACTTTCTTCGTCGGACTCTGACTCGGAAAAGGGATAAATCAAACAGGAGGCCTACAAATTAAGAAATATCTAAGGGGAGCGGAAGAAGAGCATAGAATCGCAAAACATTATTACCGATAGATCAATTCACAAGGAGCACTTTGGGCGGGAATATCAGACGTTTATTAGCAATCTGAATAAACATGGACTCTCAAATTAACCAAGTGGGCCGACGCTCGTCATTGGTACTTAATGTCGTATCTGATGGATTGTTAGAGGGACTCTTAGTGTGGAAGGGCGGAAGACGGGATTTCTTTTTCCTGTTGACCCCACGACTGTGGTAAAGAAACAAGTTGAGATACGATCCATTCCGTACTTTAACCAATTTCCAAGAACTTATAGAATTTGTATGAATTGCTTTGGAGTGAGGGCCGATTAATTCGTCGTATTCAAAATGACAAACGATTCGAATGGTTCTATTTTCGTTTAATTTGATCATGCTCTTTAGATTGTCTACAACACAAAGCCATAATACGTATGGCCAAATTCAAATCGGCTGGAGAGGGGGTTAAGGGAGGGTGGGGCCGCGTCTCCTCTCCGAATATCAACTTTTTAGCAAAGCGACTAGTACTACTACTACTACTTTTAATACCACCACCACCCCTACTACTACTACTATACTACCACCACCCCTAATACTACTACATGTAATATTACCACCACCATCCTCCCTACTACTACTACTACTAATACCACCACCCCTACTACTACTACATGTAATATTACCACCACCATCCCTACTACTACTACTAATACCACCACCCCTACTACTACTACATGTAATATTACCACCACCATCCCTACTACTACTACTAATACCACCACCCCTACTACTACTACATGTAATATTACCACCACCATCCCTACTACTACTACTAATACCACCACCCCTACTACTACTACATGTAATATTACCACCACCATCCCTACTACTACTACTAATACCACCACCCCTACTACTACTAGTATAACCACCACCCATACTACTTCTATTACCATCACTATTACTACCACCCCCACCCATACTACTACTACTACCACCACCCCTACTACTACCACAACCCCTACTACTACTACCACTACTTCTGCTGCTAATAATGTTGATTTAATGTAAACTCTCTGACACACCATAGGAAGTTCGAACTTCATGCATATTTAAAGAAATATGCCCTGTGCAACAATTAAAAGCAGGACACAACACACCACAGACCCACATCATTGCAAACAATAAGAAACATAATGTAACTATCGGCAACGTCAATTTTATCAAACTATTCCATAGAAATATGGACACAATAGTACTGAAGATGCGCTCCGTTTCCATATATCAACAAATTTGGCCCGGTTACAAATTGAGACAAATTTCTATGAGGAAAGAAGTAAAGCATTAATGCATATTTATGACTAAAGATGGATTATCAGTTTCAATACGATAAGACATTTAGGACGACGACGCCAGCGACGGTTGGGGGACATAATGCACCCCTAATCCATTAGCTTGACTGCGCGAATCGTATTTTGTTTCGACTGGATGATGAAAATTGGCAGTCTATCCAGGCTTTACCGTCGAGATCTTTCAATGCTCTGACATTATTCAGTAAAATTGAAGGGGGTAAAACTAGCATAAGCACGCAGCCCTTCAATAACAAATATTTCAATATTCACGATTGTTACGCGCTAAGCATGGGGGGGGGGGGGGGGGTAAGCTAAATGTTCGCCGATATAAGAACGGTCAGGTTGTCAACCAACCCAGGAAAATATGACTCCTTCGGTATTTGTTCACAAAAATAGAACAATAATATAGAGGGGGGGGGGGGGGGGGGGCTAGGGCTTATCATCTCCAGACCTTACGAAAAGCGACTTCCAGTCACCGTTGTTTATAGAGTCATCTTTTTATAGAGTATGATAATAAACATGCAGACAGGAAATAAATGCACAGAATCAAGCTGTTATAGTTTCTGTCAATTTAATCTACCAAATTTGATTTGTTTTTTGTTTTTTGTTATGTGATACACAACAAGTTACTTTCGACTTGAGGCATGATCGAGGAAAGAAATAATGCAAATAAACCAGCTGACATAGTACAGAGTGATCAATTACACCATCTTGTTTTTGAATACATGTACATATCTTCTGTACAACTTACTGAGCTTCGATCTGGCCAGTAGTCAGAAGTGGACAAAGAAAGCAGTAGACCTAAGATGCAAATTATAAGTAAAGGAAGAAGACATTTTAATAAAAATGAAGTATGTAGAATACTTGATAGATACATTTACATTATACATAAACCAGCTACAGTAACTATACAAATATACCGTTCTGTACTTACAGCTTTAAGGGCTGGTCTCATTGAGCAATAACGATAATTAATTAAAATCAACCCTCCTTCCGTTTCATGAGGAAAGATATTAGATGTGCTACAAATATGAGCTTTTCATTGCTGATGGCTCCTCATTAGCACAAGTTAATGTGATGAGACCTGCAGCATCACTTTACAATAAGTTTTCTAAACGAACTCCAGTGAGGACACCGACTTAGGAACGGTTCAAATGTACATCTCGTTTTCAGTGAAATGGGCCCAGCTCTTGAGACAAGCTTCCCACAATAAGGTTCTCATGTATTCAAGGAGTTTCATTCCATTGAAGAGTGGTAAAATGCCAAACCATTTGATCCAAAGTCCACTGACTCACACAATAGACATTGACAACTTTTTGAAACCACTCTCAAAGAAAAGGGAAGGAGACATAACAGATATTACATGTAGTTTAGCTCTTGACCACATTTCAGTAGTAACACCAATGGCTAAAATCAAGTTGACTTCTGAAATAAAATCAATGACTGCTGAAATAAAATCTCAAAGAACTCCAATCACTTTGGATTCTCAAAATCAACTATCCTTGACAGTTTGTAGGCATGAGTATTTATCTGTCTTTTATAAGGGTATGAGGACGTTGCAGAAATGTGCATGGTGAAAAACTCAAAACTTGTAACAGGACCAAAATGTTGTAAAATATCATAATTGATAACTTTCCTAACAGTATGGTGGCAAAATATTCTTTATTAACAAAATTACAGACATTTTTGTATCAAAATTTGAATTTTGCATCAAAAGAACAATGATTGCAAGAATCAGAAAAGTGTATGGGTAAATTACCTTAGCTTTTCAGAACTCCCTGGAGGGGGGGGGGGGGCATGAATTCACGCTTGGCAGAAGGAAAGAGGAAGTATTCGCGCTGGCATGGTCGTATAAAGAAGAAGGGAGGTTCCCAGCTGTTGCCGGGGCAACAAAGGTCCAAAGAACTTTTCTAGCTATAGGGGGCAGTCCTAATTGGCATTAGAATGGCAATTATAAAATAGGTAGGTAAAGAGAAATGAAGTAGATCAAAAAATACATGCAATGAATTAAGCACTGATGTTACCCCAGGATTAGCAAAGTATAGAGCGAGTAAAAGGTATATAGTTTTGGCCACATTTTAGAATTATCCATGACACTTTCCCCTGCAAACAATACAATAATAATAATTATAAACATGACAATTACATATAATCAAATTACAACGTTTTACAAAGCAATGTTTGTTATTTTATGGCACAGTTTTATGTTTTTCCATCTGTCTTGTATTCTCTATTGAAAAAAGCCATTCAAATAAGAAAAAAATAAACATAAGATCAAAAGTTCCTTCTCCCAATAACGGGCATAACATATTGTTACATGTAAAATATGACGACTTTTAACAAATTACACTTCAACATAAACAGAGTAGAGATATTACACATCGAGCATGATCGTAGCACACGTAAGATAAATTTCAATAAAGCTTCGTTTCATATACAATAATCAAATGGCAATGAATGGCAATTAATACATCTTCATGATAAGATAGTATAAATCAAACAACAATTAATCAACACTTGTAATCAAATTGATATTTATCATGAAATCAGTACTTTTGTGTTGTACTAAATAAAACTGTGAGATTGTCCACTTGTACACTAGAAGAATTCATATCAAACATCGTTACATAGCACAAATTCATCTAAAAATATAATCAAAGTCAAATTAGTCACCAAGATGTAAGAATTTGTACATCTATCATAAAAGAAGTACACGGTCGTTTTTTGACCACATATACATTTCATTATCACAATACAGAGATGTAAGTAAGCAAAAAATATAGACAAGATATTTTTTTCAAAATTTATGAAACTATGTACTTTCTCATTAAAGTGAATCAACATGATTTCACATATATTTCAAAAACATTCAAGCATAGAAAAGGCACAAATTCCTTTTTTCCATAATTTTTTTTCCCATTCAGAAAGTGTCTTTGCACACAAAGAACAATAAATGACAAATTTTGAAACACTATCAAATACAGATAAACATCCAGTACTAGTATTTTCATTAGATATATTGTATTTCTCAATACTCAATAACTGTGTAAGCAAATTATTATGCAAAGACTATATGTCATTATGCATCTGACTTTAGACAAAATTAAGGTTCAAAACAGAAAGGAAAAAATCAAAAGAATACAAGGGTGAAATAAGAAACTGAAGTAGAAGAAGAAGAAAATGAAAAAGAAGAGGAAGATGGAGACACCTGCACAAAGAAAGTTCATACCCTTAAATTGACAAGATCCCAAATTGGTATCATTGGTGAGAGAAAGATAAAATTTTGTTTTAAATAGTAATAGAGCATTACTGCATGGATTCCTATTTTCTGTAAGATATAATAATTTGAATGAATTAGTATTTAGACATGTTGTATGGCCAACATTTAAGTAGAGACACTACACAACACATGTTGTATGTGTAGGTATGATAAGCATCAAATGACCAAAGTCAAAATTTAAATGCTCTTGCGCAAAACATCAAAATACAACTGTAGATATCCACTCAATGTATATGAAAAGCAAAAATTACAAATTTGTGATAAATGTCTATTTCTGTCTCAATCAATTACAAAAATATGTACTCCACCTTTTCCATGGTCGTCACCTTGTACTGTTCAATTCAATTTCCCTGAATAATAATGAAAAACATATACTATCATACACTTGTACATTACTAGTAATAATAGATGTAAGTACTTTCAGTAAATCGATAGCCCAACACTTCAGTATGTGACAGGTTTATCAAGACATAAAGGTACATGTATTACGCAATGAAATGAGAAGTCCTTGTAAGCACACTTTGGTACACGATATTCAATTACAAACTAGCAGCAATCAAATGCCCCTAATACTGACTTGTTTGGAATAAGCTATGATTGCGGGGCATATTTTGACACCATAAAGATACATATAAAAATGGGTATGGCATGACTTTAACATGGCACGATGCAGCAGTCCACTATCCACTAAGCTATGAATCTTGAAGTTGTGTGGTTAAAACGCTGGTCAAATCTTAATGCCTATAGAAAAGGCATTTCATCCACTGTTACCTCTTTGGACTCGGGTGCACGTACACAGGGAAGGCAGCCATTAGTTGAATGTTTGAATACCCTTTATTATTAGGCAGCTTATTAAAATTGAGGCTACACATTTCTAAAGTGTACACTGGATTATACACTACATAAAACGAACAAAGTATGGACATAACACATATTCCAGTATTCCCGCAATCCATTGCTATTAAATTTGAGATTTAAAGGTTTAAAACTTTTTTTTCTTCAAAATAATTGCAATATATACTCTGTTTCTTGAATCCATATTGTGTCAATATTGTATTCATACAATTGCATTAATAATACATCTATCAGCACATAAACAAAACAAACTTTCATGATATTTGAACACCAACAAAATGCTGGTTTGAATTCATTAACTTTTCCGGAGTTCATTCTGAGATTTCATTACACTGAGTTGTTTAGGTAGCACACTTGATTGTCAGGAGAAAAATAAAAGACACAGTCATGATTTACAAATTTACATTTCTGTCTGTACAGACAATTCATTTCATCAACTGTTACATAAGAAAAAAGAAACACATACATATGCACAAATTACAATACCAGTCATGGCTCAATATTGTTAACATTATAACTCGAATAAGATTTTACAGCTTATACATGACCCCTGGACAAGAGCAGTTACATGTAATACCATGATGTGGGCAGACTGCACAGGTTACTCCCTTTGCATATTTTGGGAGTTTAAACTGCAACGATTACCAAAATATAAAACCAACATTAATTTCATCAATTGTATGCCTACATATACCTACACATTTGTCCTTGTTCCAAATATGCTTACCAACACCATCATACAAAATATCAAAAATCAAAATGGGCTTCAAATTTATCGTGAGTATACCCACATTGGTATTAAACACAAAAGCCCTATTTCTTCTTTATCATAAAGGCAGCTATGAATGAATGAACTGCATATTTATCTATGCATAAAATACAACTCTAGTGTTCTGTGAACAAGTAAAGAGTATCAAACTCACTTTGTTAGAAATCTTTACACTGTACATACCATGTACTTTAAAGAAAATCTGTAGGGCTCACACCAATGTAAAAAGAATAAGACAAACTATTTGAATACGTTCCTGGTGCTTTACAATCTTGAGAGCTCATGGAAAAACTTTATTTTATATTTTGATGGTTAATTACATCAAGGAATCAAACTGAATTTTTCTTTTTTGTTTAATAACTGAACTGTAAAAGCAAAAGACAATGTTCTTTTTCTTTCTTCTTTTTGAGGGCTTATTTTCCCATTAAAGGGGGCTCTTAATATAAGAATGGGAAGTGGGTGGGTACATTTTTTACCCATCTGCATATACATATATTTCTTTCTACTAATAATGCATAAATTATGCTCTGTACATTTACTAGTACTTGAACAAAGTATGTAACAGCGGCCAACAAGGTATTGAAAAGAGAGGAAAAAACAATTGTAAGCCTTATCGCTTGTTTTCCAACCTCAAAAAAGTAAAGTACGAAAGCTCTGAAAAGTGTTTATGTACTTCAATGTATATCACAAAATTTCATAAAAATTTCCATCAAGTTATAATGTCTGAAGTGCATCAATATCCGAGTTGAAATGTTGTTAATAGCGAGCATCACGCAAGGTGCTCGTCACACTTCTTAGTCCTTCAGACTTTGTAAAATCAATTGTGGAATAATTAACTTGATCGCAATTCTTATCCTCATTTGGGATGCGTCTGAAGGGCGATCGCGAACGTTTTTCACGCAAAGTGGGTGTGGAACTGCCCGATTTTTCTGAAGCAGGTTGTCCGATGTCGACATCAATGTAGTTAAGTTCTCTCTCACCACTCAGTGAAGACTGGCTGGAACGACGTGATGAGTGATGAGATGAAAGAGCCCCAGGGCTCATGGTATCACTGTTTCGGTTGCTGCCAACCCCTGTCAGAGAGTTTGCACTGCCTCTGGATGGGATGCTGTTGCTGAGCTGTGAGAAGGATAAGTCTTCCAGAGACTTCCTCAAGAGCTGCTCAGCAACAGGTCTCTGCAACCACGAAGGGGATGGTGGACTGACAGGGGAGTGACGCGGACTTGACTTAACAACACCCTCCCGAATGTCCGTTTGGACATTGATGTAATCATGACTGTCTGGGTGAGTCATTGGATCCAGGAGCAAGGGTGGAACCTGCCTCTTGCTCAGATCAGTGATACCTTTGGGTCCATTCCTACCCTTCCCAAAGCTCATGTTCATGTACTCCCCGTTTACACCACTTTCTGGCGATCCATTCTTGACAACATCAAGACCTTTGTTAGCACTTTCAACAATGTTCCTTACCATAGCATTACCTTCTATACAGTCTGGGGCATCTACAGTTACCTGCACGCTACTCTCCAACTGCTCATTCTTCTCCTCATAATTCACATTAATGTACTTTGGTTCCATTGGGGGCATACTATGCCTCTGTGTCACATCCTTCTTATTGATGTTGTTATTCTCGCAGGCTTTATGTGAGACTTGACTGCCTTTTGCTTCAAACTCCATATTGCAATATGTATCTACGACGGGTTCACTGTGTGACCTCTGATGGGATGATGAACCGACCTTCAGCAGGCTGGCATCCTCCTGTCCTGCAGAGTTCCTGTGCTTTTTGTCAGGGGACTTCCCCAAGGAATTGGTGGTGAAGGCACCACCTCCACCTCCTCCGATGGGTGAGATGGACATAGGTGCAGGAGCCCACGCTAAGCTGGGGCTGTTACAGGAGGAAGGTGATGGCCGATTGGCTGAGGGATTCATCAACATATAGGTGGAAGGCTCTGCGCTTGTGCTTCCTGCCTGTGGTGTAATGGTAATAGGTGTTGCCCTCTTGGAACCTTGAAGTCAAATCAACAACAAAAAAGAAAAAAAGACTTGATTAGTTGGTTTGCAATCTCTTATCATTCTACAAATACATGTACAGACAAACTGGTGCATTAAACTGGCAAACTGTACATTTCACATCTCTATTAGTGTGAATAATAACTCACTTTTGGACATGTAAGGATATTTTCAGTTATTTTCTGCCATTTTGGATGCCATCATTGATTCAATAACAGTAACATTTTCAAACAAGCTGTGATGCTCCTTGCCCTCCAAGATATATGGGTTCCTGATGCTGAACACATTATATTTTGTTCTAAATAGATTTATTGATCCTAATCCAGGATTAAGTCATCAAATTAACTACAGGATGGATATTTCAAAGATGTATGGCATTTTTAAGGTAATAAAAATAACAACTCTTCACAACTTTGAAGTTCTTTATTTCAGTAATTGAATATATTGACCTAGTGTCAAACCCTACCCAAAGCCATGGAAAACCCTTCGTTGCAATTTGGGAGGTTAGTGTTGGGTATTTTTAAATATGTATTAAAAAAAATATATATTATTTGTTTTTTGTCTTTGGTACATATATTGGTCCATGTACTGAAAATTAAAGTTAACCCATGTAAAAAGCCTCCTTAAAGAGAGGAGGCAAAGTAGCTCATTCAAATTGGTAATATGTTTGGGTACAAATTAATTTTCTTTTGTCAAGGTACCGATCAGATTTCTCAAAGACAAAGATCAACCTGAAAAGAAGCCCCACCACCTTTGAGCAAGATCTCAAATGAAGGATAAAGAAAAGAAAGAAAAGAATATATAAATAAATAAAAAAAGAAAGAAAGAATGAGAGATAGAAGACCAAAAAGACCCAGCTGAAGGGGATAGAACCCAAATCAAAGCATTATCATGAAGAAAGAAAAAAAGAAAGAAAAATCATGATACACAAATGCTAGGCTGTACAGAAAAGTCTTCATTACACACATAAAGGCCCAAATTCATAAAGGAGATTTGTCGACAAACTAGGTTTTCGATGTGTTTCAATGCGTCATGTGACGCACATAAACCTATGTTTACCTACAAACTTCCTTTGTGAATTCAGGCCATAGAAGCTGTTAAACTAAAGGCAGATTATGTTCCATGGTCTTCTCCCATGGTTGAATTGTGATTACATATTTCCTTAACATTTGAAGGAAACATATAAATTTGTAATATGATTGTCCTTCAGCATGCATAGAGAAAATTTGATTGATTGAAACCGTTTTGTTGTATTTCATTATCTCGTTATCTTGCTCCCTGAAATTTTGTGTGGGCTTTATTTTGATTAACCAACCTTCAACTTCTTTCCCAATATTGTAATTATAACTAATTGAACTCTATTTTGCGAGTGTAATAGAGGGCAAAAGAGCCTGTCCAAAGAACAAACCATATTATAATAGCTTCATGGTTTGTTAACAAAAGCGTTATAGTAATTACTTTCTTCATGGGATATATCAAAACAAAGTGACCCGCTTACCACGATCAGTCCAAGGTTACAGTAATATCATTTATTAGTCTGCCTTATCACCAAGATTAATTAAAAAGATAATGATATCCTTGTTTCCAGGTTTCTATAGCTCTCCTATTTTGCAACTGACATTTTAAAGAGATAAGAATCCCTTCAGGGTATAGTGTATACCATTGTGAGCTCAGCTGTAGGGCACATACGGATGCATGGCTAATACATGTATATGGACATGTCTAAAAATATGTATTTTAACATTTTCATCTTTCTTTGATAACATATCTACTTTATATCTTTACATTTCTTTTCCTAAGAAATCACAGAACAAAAATGTAAATGTATTAGTGTATACACCTATCCACATCACTTTTGAAAATGGACAACAACAAAAAACAATGTTTGCCTCCTTCATCACCTTTGGTGGTAGCAATTATCAAAGAAAGATGAAAATGTTAAAATACATATTTTTAGACATGTCCATATACATGTATTAGCCATGCATCCGTAGGTATAAGAAATTTCTTTTAGATAAACTGCAATAATCATTTAAATTCAAGACATATTTTATTTGATGTTGTATGTATGTTTGTTGTCTTGATTTGTGTATAGTATAATGTTTAGTAACGGATATATTTCATTTGTTTTTATTATAAAAAAGGGTCAACCTTTATATAAGGATTATTTTTTTCCTTTCAGGTTGCAACCTATTCAGTTTATTTGTTGTCCAAATGTCAAATATGTTCTTAATGTGTATTTTATGTTATATAGCTGGTTGTTATTTGAAATGTTGTCTTTTTAACTGAATGAAATAAATTTCATTCATTTTGTGTGATGGAACATGGACCTACTACGTAGTAGGTTCATGGTTGGAACAAGTGGGCAAGTTGTCAGCCACTACATCACAGAGACATTACCAAATCAGCCAATTCAAAGAGCCCATACCTATAGTGATTACAACTTTCAAAATGTCCTAACTTTCTCAATTTTTTGTCTGGAGTAGTTTGCTACCACGGTGGAGGTTTCCCATTTAAGATACTCTGGAGTTAAGATCAAGGCATTTTATTTTGAGACAAGTAACAATCGAATGCCGAAAATCAGTCCCAACAAATTAGGACTATGTGCATTACATGAGAACAAGGCAGTGGCTAAACTAGCTCTCCCCCCCCCCCTCTCTCTCTATCTCTCTCTCTCTCTATCTCTCTCTCTCTCTGGCTCAATTTTTTTTTGATTCTGAATACACTTATGATTATTTTTTGTTGTTGTCGTTACCAGAAATCAATGGGATCCCTTCAAGCTCATGAGATGAACATTTACTTGAAAGAACATAATATTTTATTATTAATAGTTTTTTAGACCGACAGCGTAAAAGACCGACCAAACAAATACATCATTAAGAAATATAGAAAAAGAAGAAAGTTCCAAAATGTCTAGGAGGCCTATTTCCTATAAAGGCTGACATCCCACTAGACCAACAAGACAGAGAAATACAAAATATCCGTCTCATGGGCTGTAGTCAACCACAAAATTATGTTTAAACACCCTTTGGGTGAATTCTTAAAAGCAGACTAACTTTAGTCCATGGTTTAATCCACCAAATAAGTATGGAATGCCAAGTGTCCATATGAATAAATTTTTTAATAATTTGATATGTCCCTAAAATTACCATGATAACATAATTATATCATACTTATATCGCTGTTTATTAATTATGTTATTACATTTTATTCACATTAAGTGACAGATTAAATTAATCAAAAACATATTCATATGGACACTTGGCATTCTATACTTAGTCAGTGGATTAAACCATGGACTAAAGTTAGTCTGCTTTCGAGAATACCCCCTAAAGAAGAAATGTGAGTTTACCTGGACTTGGTCCCATCATCATATAACCCTCGTCTTCGTTAGAGGGAGCCTTCAATCCACTGCCGGAAGAAGGAGCCAATCTTTGACTGGGTGATGGTGTTATGTGAGATGCAGGGGAGGAACTTGGTGCTAAGTTAACAGAGCTAGGTCTTGACCGGTTACTTGGTGTCATTGCCATGTAGGAGTCTGGCTCATCTACTACCACTATAGACATGAAGAGAGAGAGAGAGAGAGATATCATTATATGAAGTTGAATGTCAATATTAGACTGAAAATATGCTTTAAAGGAAACCTCATCCCAAAGAATAAGTGTAGGTATTCTGAAAAATGAGATGTATTCCTGCACTTTGATGTACAATATACCTAACGGAAATGTACAAGAGATATAATAAATGAAGATTTCTTAGCTGTGATGCCTACTTGGGCGCAGCCATTTTCTTGAAAATGTGACGTACTGTACCAGTTGAAGTTGTATATGTATCATGCACCAAACTTTAGTTGGCAAGACTTTTTAAATCAATAATAAAACCTTTACTTTTAAATGTGGTAAAAATCATAGCTCAGAAGATAGAAATTATATTTGGTGAAAAATATATAACTGGGGGAACAATTGTAACAACTTCATCTAAAAATACTAAAATTTAGCAGTTGAGTAATCCATTTCATTTATGAGAAACCCTCACCCCAGAAGAGCACCAACTTATTAATGCAATTCAGGTTCTGGCAATAAGGGAGTTTACAGATACAATCTGCGCATGGGCAGATAAAGGTCATTTGTACCAAAAAGGTAAAACCCACAGAGATGAATACTGGGTATGCGCTCATGAAAGTTATGTAACATTCATTTATGCAACAACGGTACATTTTATGATACGCAGGTGGAAGTATTCTTTTCAAGAGGGCAAACAAAATGTATTCATGAAGCACATCTAGGACTTTGGCAGTTATTATTATAATATGCTCAAAGTGGAACTTCTCCATGTGTAAAAGATCTGTGGATATTTTGGGTCATTTGTACCATGTGCTATCTGTAAACTCCTTTATTGTAGTACAAAGGATAATAGCAGGTGAGTGGAATACTTCATCACCACACACGTCTGGGAAGGAAGTATCCATAAATTTGAATAAATTTACTTGATAAAAGACTTCACATAGTACGTCACGGTATCAAGAAAATGGCGATGCCTATGTCGTGCTGAGAAACAGTTAATTATTCTTGTTTTATGCCTCTCTCTCATACACTTTGGTGGGGAATCTTGTAGATTAATGGGCAAGAATATGATAAATCTCTCTAAATATTAAGTAAAGTTATTTCTTGAGGGAGGTTTCCTTTATTACATATATATTTGTACACATGTGCATGTAGAACCTCTCAACAAAAGTTTGGCTTTTTTTTTCATACACTGTATCTCATGCACATGATGCGGTTAACTGCCCTTACCTAACTGTCAAGATAAAATAAAAACGAGTTATGTATCGTGTGATTCACATTTCTGTTTCTTCTAATACAGAGATAACAAAGTCCTCTTAAAGGCCATTATAAAGCACAGCTACTTTTTATCCACCTTCAATTGCCACTCATTACAGGTAGAATTTTTTTCTGTGGAAGCTGTGTTTTTTTTTGTTTTTTTAAAAATATTTACAGGGTTTATCACTTTTTCTTTCTTTTTATTATTTTCTTTTTTTCAGCTAATGGCTGCTAATCACATTTTGTATTATACCATGAATTAAAAAAAAAAGAAAAATAAATAAACTATCTTGCTTTTCATAGGACATGATGAAGATGGGTATCCCATAGATGGGCTCTATACAACATCTACACTATTATATTATACCCACATAACACAATCCTACACTTCTTTATTTCCTGCACATACACTGTAAATTACTTGACAAAATGCAGCAGAAAGAAGCAATAGCGTATAAACATGCAATATCATGCAATGCAATCATGCAGTAGCTAAAAGATTATAGTTAATTACACATGTATATCATCTCCTCCCAAGCAACTGGCAAGAACAAGAACAAAATAAACACCACCCTAAATTTAGTCCATTTTTCCATGTTGCATACTTGCACGTTTAAAATGTTATAACATGTTTACTAGTCAATCCTTTTTTTAAAGAGTAGGTAACATAAAAGGATAAAGAATCAACACTACAAAACGAGGGTCCAGTGACACAAAGACATAACTCCATATTTTGCCAAAATGAGTATTTGATATCAAAATGTTCGTGAAGAATGCAGGCTTACCAGGAAACACAAAGACTTAACTCCACCCAACACCCCATTGAAGTCAATGGCTAATGAAACATAGATTTAACTCCTTAACCCTATTTAGCCCGGGGGGGGGGGGGCTTTAGAAGCCCCCCCCTCGACATTTTTCGCGATAATTTTTTTAATGCGAGAAAATCTTGCACTGAAATTTTGTGACTTTTTTCTTTCAAGTCTTGCGCATCTTTTAAAAGAAATTTTTTTGAAAATCGGACATACCATTACAAAGTCACGTGTCCTTTTGTCTTTGCATGTCAGCCCGAAAATCGCTCATTTTTGTGATTTGTGTACAAAACATATGGAAATCTCATTTTTCAAATAAAGAGATAAAACATTGGTTATTTGGTCTTGTTTATAGTTTAGGTGTTTATTTTGGGGTCAAAATAGTTGAATTATAGTTGGAAATGAAATAAAACAACAAAAACAATAAAAAACATAATATAAAAAACAAAGAAATACACAATAAATTATCAAAACAATAGATAACATAAGGAATAACCCTGGTTATTCAATTTTTTGTGTTGTATTATTCCAAATGGTCGAACAAATATATGTAGTGAAAAAGATCGGTCGTTACACGGCCGAGACCATAGGGGGGGGGGGGGGGCTTCTAAAGCCCGGGCTAAATAGGGTTAAGGCCCAAATGCTCAGTGACACATAAACCACTTTTTCTCAAAATGGCCAAAATGGAGTTACGTCTTTGTGTCACTGACCCCTCGAATATGAAATCAACGATGAAAGAAACAAGCCAACAAACTGCAAACTAACAAGGGGAGAGACTACGGGGTGAGCTCTCGGCACTGGAGGCACAGGAGGAGGAGGAGGCAACATGCAGGAATTGGTGATTCTGGTAGACATGCTGATGCTGGTGTTGCTGATGTTGCTGGTGGTGGTGGTGGTGGTGGTGGTAGTGATGCGGCACAGGTACCTGTAGGTGAGGTCCACCGATCCCAGGGGCCAGGGAGGGGCTAGAGGAGGGGGAGGAAATGGCGGGGGAGGACGCCCTTCTATTGGCCTGGGAAGGGGACAGTCGATGATGGTGAAGGTGGGGGCTGTGGGCCAAATTTCTGGGTACGGGTAAGGCTAGATAAAAGGAAAATACATACACATTGAAAAAGGTAAAACAAAACAAAACCATACCGTAGTTTAAAAAAATCACAGAAAGCAACATGCTGAATTAAATGCAGAAGATGCATGGAAGATTTCAAATTGATGCACTCCTAAATGTATCCACTTTATCATTATCATGCAGACATTAAACCTTATTTTATTCTTGTTTAGGGGAGTGTTATCATTTCAAAACAATTCTTGTTTAATGCAGAGAGCCACTTTGTTAGAAAGAGTTTAGGAACAAAATGACATAAAGCTGAAAGCAGAAACAACAAGCATGCACAACATATTACGCACCTAATCTTCTCTATATTTTCTTAAAATAAAACTAAACAAATGTTGGCAAAGGTTAAGGATCTAGTAATGACAGACAGAGTTTCCTCTTTAGCGCAATATTGATTTTCTTAATGTCTAATTGAAGGTCAATCCAATCTGTTGAACAAGTTGAATTGTACTAAAACTAATTATTGGAGAAGTAAGGGGGTGAAAGTTTGAATATAAATCAAGATATAAATTAATAAACTTACTAAATAAAAAGTGGTTTTATTTCTAATACATGGAAATACTTAATCTATTTGTTAAAGAAATCAAATTGATTTCCAAAATTCATCACTGTTCTTTTTTCTTCTATTCAGTTGGTGACTCGTAATTTTATGCCGAGATGCACACGGTGACAACACTAAACTATTAATCCAATGCTTCAACATTGTGGTTTAACATAAGATCATTTGTTACCGCCACACTTTCAATATATGTTACCTCCTCAAATTATTTTTGTAATCTACAACATTTACTTTGATTACATATACAAGTACTTAATTAGTATTAAGGAACTCAACTTCTCCTTTTCTTATTCCCTTTGAAGCCTAATTTATGATTAATACATTTTTCCTGTTCTAACTTAAAAATCCTACCATTTTTTTATGATGAAATTTGTTGTTTATGTTTTATGCCGTTTGAAATTAATTAAGCTCATGCAGGTTTCATTGCTTAATGCCGGAAGGGCACTAAGACAGTTTTCTTCACACAGCGTGAATGCCCTACTGGTTCTCAGCAGATGACAAAATTAATTAGTACACATTCAGTCATACAATGATCATTCTGAACAACATGCCACCAATTAGAGTGTGTTCCTACGGCTTGAAGGACATTGAAGATGATACCTTTCGAGGCTGCAGAGGGCGACATACTCATATATTCATCGTTAGCCTCCTGTGATTCTTCTCTGATTGATACATGAGACGGTGAGTCTGGTGTACGACTTCGCCCCCCGCTGCTTCCAAATCTACACAAGGGGGAAGAAAAATATCAGATGAATTATTGAAGAAGACGGATGTTGTTTTAAGATATTATCATGCTTATAATCTATCTTCAATAAGTATAAGATGTAAGTGCAAACTTAAAGAAATTAACTCTTACGTTGTCTTGATTGTGTTTATTTATTTATCTATCTGTTGTTCGTTTGTTCTATCTATCTATCTATCTATCTATCTATCTATTTATCTATATATCTTTTTATTTATTTCCCTTTTTTACTCAATATTACAAAACCTATCTATCTATCTATCTATTTATTGTTTTCCTTATTCAATTAGTATTACAAACCATTTAAAGTGTGATAGGTTATGAGATCTGTACATAGCATGGAAATTATATTAACTGATCTTTAAACCATATGGCTGTTACAATGAAACTGAAATGGGCAAATTTATATTAGAACGGTTGGATTGTAAACATACAGGGTTGAAGAAAATTGGTTTTAGACAAACTTGATACATTTCTAATAATGTAGTGGACGTGAATCAAATGTGAATAAACCGATTGCAAGCATTCATACCTGGTAAAGTAATGATCATCTGAACTGTGTCCTTCAGATTGATAACGTTCATCAAGATAACTTTGTGGGCTTTCACTGAAAAAAAAAAAAAAATCATTAGAACTGCAGTCGTATTAGAACGATATGCATGCATTGACGCTTGTATATCTATGTCGCAGATGAAAGAGCATCTGGGTTAGAATAGAAAAAGGAACTTAAAAAGTGTTTTCAAGAACTTTGTTTTAAAAAAATGAAACAGACTGGAGTCAAAGACCTTTGTTGTTGCCGTACATGCCAGGAGGCAGTAGGTGAGTCCTATCTGGCAACTTTTAAGTGGTGCCAAGTCAGACCTTCACCTTCATGAAGTCCTTCTTTAATGGTTACAAAGTGACCCACAAGGACTTTTACCATGGTTGGTTAAATATACATGTATGAAGCCAATTATACTACGTAATACCAATTTCGGGATTACGTTAAATGAGACCCCGTTAGTGCGCATGCGCTAATCAGCAAAATTCGTTAGTCGCGTGTTATTTGAGCGAAAGGACCCCTTTCTGGCTCAAGAAATCAGATTTATTATCCACGCAATCCCCGAAATTCAAAGGTAAAAAACGTTATTAGTTTCACCCTTGACATTTACTGATAACTTTGAGACGCTTATTTTTATAAATCACGCCCTTCTGAAGTGATATTTTATCGATAGAATTGTAATGTCTCAAACGGATAGCAGCACTGCTGCGTTTCCTCCGTCCGCGCTTTCACCCCAGGCACCGCCTGGTAGCGCAGGAGCCACGGGCTCCGACGGAAAGAAAAAATTACCCAACTCCAGTGGCAAAGTCACGGCTGGCAAAGTCAGCAAGAGTGGGCCGGGGAAAGCTAAAAGTAAAACAAAGTCGGACTCGGAGCCAAAGGCAATGAGCGAGAAAAATCAGGAAGTGGAATCAACGGTTCCATTTTCTACTTTTAATAACAGACTTGATAAAATGGAAGCGCTTCTTGCGCGAGTGGTTGAGGCGTTGCCCGCTACTAATGTTACGGCTGTCACTGGCAGCTCACACCCGTCTTCGTCTCGCGGCCCCACCGGGGCTACCGGGGGGGAAGACTATGTGCAACGGCCTCCGTTCGACCACGGGAATGACATACCGCCCACCGGGCTCATGGATTTTTACGGTCTACCCGCGGATGCAACCGAAGCGGGCGCCGTCTCGGAGGAAGAGAATTTTGACTCAGACATGCCTCAACCTGATAACTTTGTCATTCCCTCGATCGCCGCAAAATTCGCAATGGCGTCGGATATCGGAGATCCTATTGAGGAGGAGATAGCCCAATCTACTTCATATCTCATGACACACCAATTGGAGGGGAAAGTTCTTGATGAAGTTACTGCAAAATACCCAGCTCCAAGCAATTGTCAGATTATAGAGGCACCAAAGGTGAACCCTGTGATATGGGACAATCTACCTCCGATGACAAAAAGCCGTGACTTGAAGTTACAGCGAGTTCAGAAATCACTCACTCATGGCATCAATGCATTTGCCCGCTCCGTTTCTACGGGCGGTATAACTGATACACAGCAAGATGCTTTGGCGTTGATTTGTAACGCTAACTTTGAACTGAACTGCCTGCGAAAAGAGCTCATAAAACCTGACTTGAATGCAAGGTTTACGCATCTGTGCAAACCTACTCTGCCAGCTACTAGACTTTTGTTTGGTGATGATCTTGGAAAGCAGGTGAAGGATCTCAAAGATCAGCAACTGGCAGCGGCCGGTGTAATGAGGGACAAATTCAAAAACCGCTTTGCTTCGCATCCCTATCGGGGACGTGGCTACAATGCACCGGGGCACCGCTGGGGCTCACAGAGCCAATCCCGCGGGTATAGCAGGCCAATGTCAGGATCGCAGGGTGGCCCTTTTTTAGGGTACAGACAGAACAGGAGGGGCAGACAGCCTCCGTACACTCAGTCTCAGGCTCCGAACCAGCCTCAAATGCTAGCGCCAGGTGCCCAGAGGGGTCCCATGGGCCAGCAGAGGAGGAAGTAGAACTCCCAAGACCAAGTCACGACAAGGTTAGTGATTCACACTTTGATCTCATTTTTAGCGAAAATGATATGACTAATGCTAGTACTAGTACTAGTAGTGTTCCCCCAGTGGGCGGTCGACTGAGGTATTTTAGGAAAAATTGGCAAGAGCTAACAACAGACCCTATTGTTATTAGGGCTGTCACGGGATACAAGATCGAGTTTGATGTAGAAAAAATTAAAGACTTGCCTGAATTAAAGGCTAAACACTATAAACGGAGTGTCCAGGATGCTAAGCGCATTCAAGAAGAAATTACTAGCCTCCATCGTAAAAATGTTATTGAGCCCTGTGTACACGAAGAGGATGAATTCATTTCTAATATTTTTACTACGCCTAAAAGAACTGGAGGTGTACGTCTAATCCTCGATCTTTCAGAATTGAATAAATGCATGATGTATAAGCATTTTAAGATGGATAATATTCACACTGTGCTGGATCTTGTATCCCCTGACAATTCTCTAGCCTCTGTCGACCTCAGAGATGCATATTATACAGTACCGATCCACCAAGAGGATAGGAAATACCTCAAATTCATTGTCAATGGTCAATGTTGGCAATTCAAAGCACTGCCCAATGGTCTCAGTACAGCACCAAGGCTATTCACAAAATTACTAAAGCCAGTTTTTTCTAAGCTCAGACAAGCTGGTCACATTGTGGTAGGATATTTGGATGACACAATCCTCATTGCAGAAAATGAGGAAAAGCTCAAAGCAGCTGTTAAGGCTACCACTGACATCCTTGCACAACTCGGGTTCATTATTCACCCTGAAAAATCGGTACTTACCCCCACCAAAGAGATAACGTTCCTTGGCTTTGTTCTGAATACAAATACTATGCAAATTAGACTTCCAGAAAGCAAGGCGCTTGAAGTCGAACGCCTCTGTCAAGAGCTTATTGACACTAAGGAGCCCTCAATAAGGCATGTTGCCAGGGTTATTGGGAAGATCGTTTCAACGTTCCCAGCAGTCCAATATGGCCCTCTCTTCTATCGTACTTTAGAGAGAGACAAAATTGCAGCACTAAAAGCAAACAGAGGTCATTTCGATAGAAAAATGACACTTTCAAATGAAGCCAAGGGTGAGCTTCAATGGTGGGTCGAGCATGTAACGTCTTCATTTGCACCAATAAGAAGACCGAAACCAGACCTTGAGTTGCGCACGGACGCCAGTGGGGCTGGCTGGGGTGCTACTAACCTCCAATCATGCACAGGTGGTAGATGGAATGAAAAAGAATTGCACAAAGCTAGGCATTATGGCATTAACTACCTTGAAACAGTTGCTGCGGGGTTTGGCGTTCAATCCTTCTGCGCTGATATGGAAAATGTGCATGTACTACTCCGTGTTGATAATGTAACCGCAGTATCATACATTAACAATATGGGGGGCTGCAAGTCCGCAGATTGCAATGAGGCAGCCAAACACATTTGGGAATGGTGCATGAGTAGGAACATATGGCTATCAGCTGCCCATTTACCAGGGAAACTAAACACAGAGGCAGACCACATGTCTAGACACTTTAACCACAAGACAGAGTGGATGCTAAATACAGATGCATTCAAAGAAATTGCTCAGCAATTTGGTTCCCCAGAAATAGACCTATTTGCATCAAGATTAAACAAGCAAGTTGACAGATACATCTCATGGCTGCCTGACCCTGGAGCTGAAACAGTTGATGCTTTCACAATCGACTGGAAACCTTTAAGTTTCTACGCTTTCCCACCCTTCTGCCTCATCGCAAAATGCTTACAAAAGATTAAATGCGATGATGCAACAGGCCTACTAGTAATTCCAAATTGGCCTACCCAACCATGGTTCCCTCTTTTGAAGAGTATGATTATTGGGGAGCCAATGTTCATAGCTAGAAGGCCAAACTTACTAGCACAGCCTATTACAAATGAGCCACACCCGCTTAATAATCAACTTGATTTGCTTTGTTGCAGGTGCTGCGCCAGCCACTAGAAAGTAAAGGTTTAAGTGCAAGAGCTATCAATGTAATAGCAGCATCGTGGCGAGCATCAACGACAAAGAACTATGCCGTTTACATAAGGAAATGGAAGACATACTGCCATAAAAAAGGCTTGAACTATCTCCAGGCGAGATCCAATGATGTAATTGATTTTTTGTCAGAACTCTTTGAAAGTGAAAGAGCTAGTTATAGTGTTATAAATTCTGCACGCAGCGCCTTGTCTGCATTCCTAGTACTTGAGGATTCGTCATGTACAGTTGGAACTCATCCTCTTATTAGTCGTTTTTGTAAAGGAGCTTTTCAATTGCGCCCTCCAGCGCCAAGATATAAGGAGATTTGGGATGTGAACATAGTGTTTAATTATCTACGGAAGTGGGCACCAGCGAATTCGCTCACGCTAAAAACTCTGACTATGAAACTTTGCACACTTATGGCGCTGATATCGGCCCAGCGGGTCCAGTCACTGCACAGCTTGCATCTTGACTACATGAAAATCAAGGGCAGCGAAGTTCTGTTCATTTTTAAGGACCTCCTAAAGCAAACAAAACCAGGGAATGTGAACTTCAACTTGAAAATGAAGGCATATCCACCAGACAGGAGGTTATGTGTACTTAACTACTTGCGGCACTACTTACGCAGAACGGAGAGCGTCAGGGGACAGGAACGCTATCTGTTCATCAGCTTCAAGAAACCGCACAAACGCGTTACTACGCAGACCATCGCCAGATGGGTGAAGGAAACGTTGACCTCAGCAGGGATCGACACAGACATCTACAAAGCTCATTCTACTAGAGCTGCATCAACTTCAGCAGCAAACAGTTCAAATCTGCCTATCAAGCATATACTAGCCCAGGCGGGCTGGTCTTCTGAACGGACGTTTCGAAACTATTACATGAAACCAGTAGAGAACAGGAACGTCAATTTCACAGGTGCAATCATGGCGTCCTAAAGGATGTCCTAGAATTGGCATCGCCTTTTTAAGGTCAGCTGGTTTACCTTCTTAGCAGCATGCTTTAGCTTGCTATTCTATCAATAATGTATACTTTTGTGTTGAGCACTGGATCGGATGGCCTACTGAGCTTCGAAATCTCATTTAACGTAATCCCGAAATTGGTATTACGTAGTATAATTGAAAGATTAAACGAGAACTCGTTTGAGATTTAATCTCAATTATATAAGTAATATAAAATGAGGGTTTACGTCCCTCCCTTACCCTCCCTAGTGCTGGGTATTGTTATTAATTACAGTTCTCGTTATCTTTCTGCTTGGTTCAGTAGGCACATCCTCGGCTATCTACGAATATTGCTGATTAGCGCATGCGCACTAACGGGGTCTCATTTAACGTAAACCCTCATTTTATATTACTTATATAATTGAGATTAAATCTCAAACGAGTTCTCGTTTAATCTTTCAAACAACCTTTATTCTATCCTTTATTTCCTATCCATTCATTTACAGAATTGTGAAGGTGTTGTGTGCATTATGTTTATCGGCTAACAAACTTATTTAAGATTTCTCACGGGAAAATTTCACAATTCTTTGAGTCATTCTTGTCAGGAAGTCATTTACATACATGTATAACCAACAATACAGTGGCAAACATTTTAATGAAAGTCCCCATATATATGTATATGTAGAGGTGTTGTGGTCTAGTGGATAAGTCACCCAACTGCAGATCACAAGGTACGGGTTTAAGTCCTGTCGCAGCACCAATGTCCTTTGGCCACTCTCCACTCAGATGTAAATGGGTACCTGATAGGCTTGAGCGCTAGTCACTTTGGTAGCTCGGCTATAACCAGGGTAATATATATGTGTAAAGCGCCATGAGCGTCAGGGCCTGGCGGATACCTGCACTATATGAATATCCATATTATTATTTACTATTTATATATTTTGTCGTCAGAGATCCTTGATCCCATCTTACCTAAGAGGACTGTTGGGTATTGGTGGTGAGTTGGACATAGGCTGGGCTACCATTCGGTGAACGCTAAGGGGTCTGATGGGGCCACTACTGAGACTACTTCTGGATGTCAATGACGGAATGGAGAATCGTCCCCTCGTCTTTGTCGGACTGTTGTTGTTGTGAGAGAGAGAGAGAGAGAAAGAGAGAATAGAGAAATTGAGAGAGAAAAATAGAGTAATATTTATACCATGTTATAAAAATGTATTTTTTAAAAAACTTTTCCCCGAGTATTCTAGAACTTCGCTTACCTCTCCCTCACAATTTTTTCCTTCTTCTTTTCACTATTTGCAAACATGATTAAAATGATGCTTACAGCCACTATTAAATATAATCAGAGTCTGTGAGAGCATAGACTAACATACATACCTGTCGGGAGCTTTCATGCCCTTCTCTCCTTCACTAGATGTCCGTGGGCGGAGCTTATTACCAAACTTGAGAAGGCTGATGATAAATGATAATGATAATGGTACATATAAATGGAGAGATGAGACACGTGTAGCCGGCAGTGAGCATGGAATTGTATTATTATTATTCTTTGTTGTTGTCATCATTGGTCCACCACCTGCATGTAATTGATACATGTTCATGTATAATGTACCTATTAGGCCTGTCTTCACTAGCTCGAGATTGCCAAATATCCAGCTATTTGAACTATTTGAATCTTGATCGCAAACTATCTAGCTAATGTGCGTCTTCATCAGCCCGAAACTGCAATTAGCGGGCTATTTGGCAATCTTGAGATGATGAAGAAGCGCCTTTAGTTACACCTCTAAGAGTCAATGGATAGTGGAAACAAACAAGATTGAAAATGCTCAAAGCACATTTAAAACATAGAGGGGGAAATGAATAAACATAATTACGATTGCATGGTATATGGGATTTGTGTATGCCATTTTTAATAAATGGCCAAGTAAATCAAAGTATCTAGGAGCAAAGGCATGTGAGTCCAAAGCATAATATGGTAATAAAACACAGTGATATTTCAGTCTCACAGGCCATTCAGCAACTGTACATAATGTACATATACTTTATGTCCCAAAAGGTACAAATGGTAATGTGTGTTAGTTCTTGTGTAAAGTAAGATTATGCTAGAAGTGAAACTATAAATAAATAAAAATATACAGGGGTCTATAAATAAATAAATAAATAATTTTAAAAAAGATGATTGGCAAAAAACAAAATAAGTCCTCAAAAAAAGAGAAAAGGGGCACATCATTTAAGGAATAAAATTCCTTTCATATTATTCACTGATAGGAGAAAAATAAAATTAACTTGCAAGTACCTGTTTGAGTGACAAACAGTAAAACTTCAAAACAACTCAAACAACAAAAGGAACAAATAATAGCACAATCGTTAGTAGTATACATGTACAATATCCACAACATCTGTTTACATAAATACATGCCTAAACATACTTTTTCTTGTTCCTCCCCCTTCCGCTTCTTCTTACAATAAACTAAGACAATAATGCTGGGGTATATTAAACATGTAGTTTAAATACACTGGATTACAACATACTTTTTCTTGTTCCTCCCCCTTCCGCTTCTTTTTACAACAAACTAAGACAATAATGCTGGGGTATATTAACCATGTAGTTTAAATACACTGGATTACAACATCTAAGTACATTGAACTGCAGATTAGTTCAACACATGTACATGTACATTCAACTGAAGAAAAAAAACTGTTAAAATGTTGTTCAGTGAAAACCTCCAGTTTTAACAAGAGCTACCAAACAGGTTAAGAAATGAATCCTCTGAAAATCTAAAAATCATGCGCACCATCTTCAAAACTACCAGCATGCAAATTAAAATGACAAAGAGGGAAAGAGCGCAAAGAATATTAGAAACATGTTTATCAGAAACAAGTATGGAAATAACACCAGCTCCAAGTGTATGAAGATGTGCAAATAAAATACATGCACAATGACACACTTGTCATGCCAAAAAAGAGTATTACATCAATAATATCTAACCAAAGATAGGAATGATAAAAATCATCTTTATAATCATGCTTCTATGTCACTGATCACTATGAAAATCAGTGGTCTACAGTGTATACAGTTGTCTCTTGTCAAATCTGTTGGGACCATAACAAAATTGTCTGATTTATGCCAATTAACATTTGACTTTATTAGGGAAAATTCAAGTTATTCATATTTAACTGTACCTTGAACTGAATGCAAAAATGTAATCTGAAGCATATAGGCTTTTGGGGGTATTACAACGTGACTACACTTTAATGTCAACATGTAACATTATGCATTCAGTACATACCCAGATAATCACATTTTCATATACCGTACATGCAGTTTGAAAGTTTGTTCCCAAGTTCCCAAATAAGAAAGCCAGTTCTGATAATTTTGACCTTAATAATCTGAACATCACACCTTTTATATACACGTCCACATACATATGGTCAAACCAATGACTACAGGCCAACTAAGGGAAATGGCTGGTAGGTACATGTTGTCAATGTCTAGAGTGATGGCATTTAGGTGGCCAATATATCAAACAGGTTTCATTGTGTGTGTATATTGCATTCGAATATAACAAGTTTTTGCGATTTTCAAAAACCGTGAAGCGCGGGAGCAATAAGTGAGACAAATTTGCTGGTACTTCATTATTTGTTGATGAAATGAAACAATATTTTGATAAATTTGGCCAGAAAAACCTCTCTATTAAGAGAAAGATATATTAAACAAGTATGCAAACCACTTTCTTTTTTGTGAATTTGTATTTTTATTCTGTTATGGGTCATGTTTTTGCATGTCAACCAAAAAATACCATTTTATTTGGCTTCAATAGTCAGTAATGATGCACTTTTAACAAGGAGAAGCTGTAAAAAAAAACCTAAGATATCAATAGCTACTTGAAGGGTAAATGGATGGAATATAATACTGGGTAAGGTGAAGTAGTAAATAGACAGAGGTAGAAAACAACATCTCTTGATTTACTAAGAAGAGCTGTCACCAAATTACTTAATGTGATATAGAAATCCCACAGAAATCAAGTAATTATATATGGTCTAGAATCAATTTAGAGATGGTTGCTGCAATAGAATTATATCAAAATGTTGACTATTAAATGCCTTTATAAACAGTCACTGCTAGCAATTCACATATTTTGACAAATCCAACCATCCAAATGGGGAAACATCTAAAATGTACATGCAACAAAAAAAATGTACTATGTACTGTCTACGAGCATTTAAAGAAATATTTAAAGAAAAGAAAATAGCAGAGCTTAGAACAAAAGCGTATATTAGAAAATAGTCCATTTGGAAAGAAAATGGTGACCCACAGTGTAAACACAGTGTAGAGTGTGAACAAAGTATGCAGTGTGACTGTGGACATAGTGTGAACAGTGTATCGGTGTATTCAATCACACCATAAGACCATGTGTGCTTGTTTGTTTGTTTTTTGTTGTTTGTTTGCTTAAAACATAACTGCGGTATTAAACTCTCCCATCCATTCTTATTGGAATACTTCCTGTTCAGAAAATCTAATTTGTTTGACAAATCAAAAACTCAAAAGTTGTCATATTGATTTTACCAATTTGAATGATCTGATTGTTCCAATAAGTACAGATTTTATTTTTTTCAATTGAACTTTGATCAATGTGTTCTTTTTTGTTTTACTGTAACTTACAAATGGAAATTTAGATTTCCCTTTTCAAAAATTGTGTTAAAAGAGTTCATAGTCGCCACACTGTATGTACACTGCATTCTTTCCATTAGAGTATCAGCATCAGGAAGACAAAGCAAAACCAAATAATATAAAAACATTGATTTTATTCACTGTCTACCAAGGCAGCCCAAATTCTGCACAAACCAGCACTATTAAAAAAAGAAGGACTAAAAGGCTAGTAGGTGACAGGGCTTGCAATGCGGTACCTTGATCTTGCCCGAGGTACAGTCGAATGTCCACCGCCGCCTTCGCTGCATGTCCGTGGTCGCATCACTGAGTTGGTTAGGTTACTGCCATATTGGAATGCAGTGGTGTGATTGGAGGAAATATTGTCACATGGTCACTCATTGCATTAAGGCCTCGATATGCATTATTGTTTGGCAAATAGCAAAGCATTATCCCAGGCTAAGACATTTGTACAAAGCACAGATATATTAATGATCTAAATTAACATCAATATTACAATTATCTGACTTCAATGAAAGACCTTTGAATGCAGAAATATTTATGAATAAGGTCATGGTTAAAACAGAAAATTCATACATGTAACTGTGCGTAATCAACTTTACATCACTGTGGACCAACATGTTCCTCAGAAGAAAACAAGCAGAAAAGCAACAAAAATAGTCTATGCTCCACCACCTGCCCCCCCCTAAACTTTAAATCTTTCAAGCAGCTAAACAGTTTTAATAATGAGGGATCAGAACAGACTAATGCCTAGATGCTACCGACTATTGTATGAAATCACATCTGTTCAGGAAAAAACCTAAAACCTCTGCCTTTGTGAAACAGGTGACAACAAAATACCCCACAAACCAAAATGTTGAATTACTTCATGAGTATTTGTGCAATCCGCTGGAATGCAACCAAAAGTAGACTTTCGCAAACTGAGCAATGAATTTACATCATACTGATCAGCAAGCACAACTCCACTTGTAGAAATAATTACAATCACAGACAACAAGATACTGGTACAAGTAAATAAAAGATTTATATTTATATTTATTATACAGTAAACATAATTATATTTTAGTCCATATTCAAGTGAAACCTGACACTGGGTTGAGGCCCAGTCTAATGCAGCAAAGCAGAAACTTAGGGCTTGGTTTTTTAGTTCCTTAATATGAGCTTGACTTTCGACCAAGGATGAAGATAGTATCAGGTTTAAAGGGAATCCAACCTTGATAGCAAATTACTCTTGAGAAATACTTTGTTTCGGCATCCCATCAAAGATCATTGTTGTGCCCAATTGTGCAATCTGACTAGACCTCTGAAATCTTTATAAACAAACATTTTTCCAGTATTACCATCATCATGCCAACTGGCATGGGCCACCTGTTGATGCCCATAATCTGTCTGGGATGCAGCCTACAAGAATGTTCAAAGTGCTTCTTTTGCCAGCTTTATAACTAACATACATGTCTTTTAGCATTTTTTAATATGAGCTTCACAGGTAACATATGGTAAGTGATATTACAAGGATATTCCAAGTGTTTGAAGTTGACAAACAGTAGGAAACCGCTTCAGACAATGTGATAGATATCAAACACCCAAAGCAAGTTTTGTGCATGTGTATTGTGTACGGAAGCTTATACATTGCTGACACTGATGGCCAGAAAACATGATAGGTAATGCATATAGTAGCTTCCACCTGTATGGAAAAAAGCAGTCTTTAGAAGGAAATCACATATGATGAAGTCAGATGATCAAGTAAGTCAAGCTATGTATAGACATGACGTACAGCCATTTTGTGATAAATGTACATGGTGGAAAACTGGAAATGAATATCCAATCGTATACATGGTCTGTGTGTATTTACTGTATTAAAGATTGAGGGAAATTACAATTATTCTAATATTATACCACAGAAATTCAGACATATCAACTGTTGAGGCACCTGGATACATGTACATGAGCATGGCTTCACGTGGTGTGACTTGACACTTGCATGGCAGATACAGCCGACTTTTACAACAGTCTAAAAGAGGCAAGTGCATATTAAACAACAATGGTCAATAGAGGATTAAAATGCTGTGGAGCCACGTCTTAATGAAGGCCACTCTGTTCTCTTCCATAGCACAGAAGTCCATCTGTACCACAGCTCTGTATTTATATCATACACAACTTAGGGCTGTGATACGGGTAGATTCCCAGAATCACAGCACAGTATCACAACAAGCCAAATTCAATTCCTTAACCTTCTTTTTCTTACATTGATTTTTGGTGCGTGAGTGCACATGAGCTACAGAAAGCAAGTGAGTTGTGACTGGAAATCAAAAGTTTAAAGTAACAATAAAGTGTAACTTAAGATATAACAATGTCAGTGAATGAGAAAAAGAAAAATCAACATGCATACCAATGAGGATGATGAAAATACCAAACAATTTCCAACCAAGATTGAACTTGAAATAAGAATAAAACCTACCCAAAATATGTCCCGATATAGTTACTACACCATTTCAAATGAGTCACAAGCGAGCTTTCAATAGAGGTTGTATACAAAATCACAAACATAATAGAAAAACAAAGAAGAAAAATGTGATTATCGTGAAATGTGATAAGCATGGAAAGTAAAGAATAAAAGGCCTGGAATTGGGAGTATTCTGCTACCACTACTTCATACATTATGAGGGAATAATATAGCAAGAGAACTAAAATTGATAATAATAATAATGTTGTTTACCAAGGGTAGCCTCATCAGTATTACTACTATTCTCCCCGGGCCCCTGCATCCATAGCAAGATCAAATACATGTATATTCTAATATATATAGGTACATGTACATCTGTAAGATTATTTTCAACTAAATAAACAAAATACATAAAGCTTTATGTATTTTTGTAGATCATTATTCTTAATTTGCCTTGTTTTTACCGAATATGATATGAAAGATAAAAAAATTATCATGACGATCCTCAAAAACTTTTGATAAGCTAAAAGATTTTTTTTTTAAATGGTGCACAAATATTTGTATTTGTGTCTTTCTTAATGATTTACCAATGACCCACAGTCCTACATGTTTACAAGAGTGGTTTGGCCAGACAATGCTTTAATCAAGATTTCAAATCATTGGTGAATGCCCCCTTGTAAATTTCAAATTCAACTCAACAATAGTCCCCTTCCCTTTTACCTACACCGGTATGTAATCTTATCTGACTCTTATTCATGCAGTGTAGCACAAGCCCTGCAAATTAATTTTTGAAGTTTTTTTCTATTATACAGTACATACATGTCTGTAACGTGCATTTGCTAAAACACTCCACCGAACTTATGGACAGTAAACATGCAGTGAATGCTTCTTTCTATGCATGTGTGTGTTGGTAAAAGAAAATTTAATATCCTTGGATTATGAAGGAAATGTCACGACCCTCTTGAGATCCCTGCAAACCACTTCAAACAAATCTAATTGCCATTCTTTTTTAAGATGCTACACTACACCAGAAGCCTCTGTTTGATGAGACAGAATGTCAAAATCTTGAATGATGTTATTCAAGAAGAATTTTGTAATTTAATATTGCCTACTCCAGCATTGCATGGGCTAATATGTATGAACGATTCAACGTTCATGAGGGACGTTGGGGCAAAAATGCATTTTGACTAACATTCCCCTGTTGCTAGTACTCTTGTGGCATTTGTCCATGTTTGTGATTACATAGTAATTAATGCACTAAGCAGATGGTAAAGGTCATGGAATAAAGACATAATATAGGGGAAAGAGAAGTCAGACCCCAAATTGTATGGCAAAAACAAATATATGAAATTAACGAAAGAGAATAAGAAGCTAGAGAAAGACACTGGGGAGGTAAAGAGAGAAGGAAGATAGACATAAAGAGGGTCAGAAAGATCAATTTGTCTATTCTTTATAGGAGCATATACCTCCTTACCTGCCCCTTTGCCTTCTGTTCATCTCGTGACACGCATCCCCGGTCTCCATCCCCTTCTCAACCCGACCCACCTTCATGTACATCTCTACATATGCCCATGTATACTGTACATACTGCATGTTGGAAAATGAAATGTATCTGAAAACATACGTGTCATGGAAGTAGAATGGATAGTATACCACACAGTGAGAGTACGTGATTCCCCAGATGATCCAAAAGAAGAAGACAAAAACAATAAAAATATAATGTAGGCTTTTCAATACCAACCTGACTGGGCTACTGCTACTAGCTATGGCATGCTCTTCCTTTGACTGCCCATCCTCCCCCTCGCTGTTCCCCCTAGACCTGGACCCGGACCTGGACCCTGGCATCGCACGGTTTGGCACAGGCATGCTATCACACCTGGTCCTCCAGGATGGTCCCAGCGTGTTGGACTGACGTCGACTCCCCGAGGCCGAGTGGGACTTGGAATCGGATCCTGGGTTCCCGGAGCTCATGGTGCTGCTGTGACTGCGAGGGCGCATCTCTTCCTGCTGCTTCACGGAACGCATGGCTCTAATAGATTTCATGTGTGGGACAAAGCGAGAAGTAAGATATTAAATACATAATGAGGTGTTGATTAGGCAAAATTGTACGGAAATGGCTTGAAATATGGACATTAAAATACATAAAAATGTATATGGTTTAACTAAAGTACAAGTAGAGGACAAATCATTGGTAAATTCAGCAAGTAACATTATGTATATTGTATAACTAGAGTTTGAAAGTAACAGGATGTACTTATTAAAGGTAATACAAAGTTTTGGTAAATTTTGATAATTGGCTGGATATTGATTCCTTACAATTTTGATATATTTGGATGCCCCTGCGGATGTATTATAAACACTAAAAAATTAGCCCGTAAAACACTTCTGATTTTGAGATAATGAATATCAAAATTTACCGGTGCTCCCGGTAAATTTTGATAAATTTTGATAAATTTAAATAGCGCCTACGGCCATACAATGATAGCTGCGACCATGAAAATCTCAGAATATGCAGTTGTGATATATAATTTCCAAATGGGGATAGCAAAATCGGTCGATTTTAGTCAAGAAACATTTTTTATAGCTATATCAATATCTTGACCTTGAGGTGGAGCAATACAACATAAAGAGCTTATTATTTAAATTTTCATCCCTTTAGACTCGATTTCGAACGCGGCAACGATCACTGAATATTGTAGGATCACATACGCTACCAATATGTTAATTTGAACCAAATTCATGACCCCATACCAAAACTTCGTATTACCTTTAAGATATTTCGTGATGGTCAATGTATAAATCAAAATTCCTAGTTCCTTGGAGTCGTTGTGAACAAATATATGTAGATCAAAATATAAGGACATGTCTTTCATAGTTTCATATGCATTTGGTGTTCTATCTAGATGAAGATATTCCATATCTTTGAACATCTATATTGCCATGTCATGCTGTATTCATGTTGGGGTAATAATATGATTGCAGGGCCCCTAAGGGAGAACAGTATTAATACTGATCAGGCTACCCTGGATAAACAAGACACATTATTATTATTATTATTGTCTGGGGCAATTGTTCTGAAAGTAATTATTCATACCCGAACTTCAAAAAAGAGCAATTAGTCTCATCACAAATTCCCATCCCAGACTTCAAAGTAAGGCAATCTTCTTTTTTAACAGCAAACTGTAATATCTATCTGAACCGTTCATGGTATATCTAAGCTCAAATTGCACCCTTTATTGCAGGTACTGTGATTAATAACTTGTTGTAATACTCTGATTCAAGCCGCCATGCTAGATACCAATTGGTTGAGTAAATTTGTTAAAGTATTAGATACCTGTACAATCCCATGGTCTTAAATTCCATCCCCTTTTTGGGGTTTAAATCTTCTCAGTTACTTGCTGCATTCAAGAGCAGTTTAGAACAAAATTGTCCCTGAAATTCCTAAATATGTACATGTAAATGGACAATTCCACTGGAAGTATTCACTAGCCATGAATCTTTTTCCTGTGCCTCTGTGACAAATTTGGTATCAAAACAAAGATTTCTAACAAGATCTTCATGTTACATGTAAGTGGTTTGCTCTAATTGAAGATATATATCAGTGGGAGTGAAGTACCTTCGGGCATGATATCCTTTGATTACTTTGATCTCCAAATCCATCATAATCCAACTGTTTTCCAAAGTGTACCTATGCTATCATTGTAAGCTTCTGTTGATACCAAAACTACACTGTAGTTTATTCAACCCCCAACATTACAGACTTTTCAAACTGTTAAGAGTGAGTAAAAAAGAAAACTATTGTCCATTTTATGTCATTCCCATAACAGTTTTACAAAGAGTTCATTTTCTCTTCATCTATTCAGTGGAATACTCTGAAATTTGTTATGAATGTGACTGATTGTCAAATGTGTTAAAATCACTAACTAAAATATGTCTTTAATTTAACCCAAACTGTTGCAATTGCGCAAATGTATACTCATGAGCTGTGTATTGTAACCCACCTCTTACCAATTTTTTTATTATGCATTTCTATTCTAACAAGCACAAGTTAGATGTACAGTATGTGGTCATCTGATGTCCCATAGGTTACCATGTATTACGGTATTATGAACATAAATTGTCATAAAACTACATGTATCTAACTTGATAATTGGTCATGTCGCTCTAGCAGGGCTTGCTGATTTAATACAGTCATCAGATAAAATAGATTTACATGATTGTATATAAAGATGTGGTCTCTATTAACCAGATGGGACAAAATAGCCTGGGATTGCCGATCAATTTTCCTCTTCGTTGTTAAGATACTTTTAGATATATAAACTAAATGTATGAGCTTATCCTTGACAGGCCTTTGTCGTCTGCTGCTTCTCCATTCTATTTTTTTTCTTCTTTTTTACATATTTATCTGGATATGTTTATCCTTTTTATATATACTTTTGTTGTTACTCCTTTTTTCAATAATAAACTTGAAAATGAACCGACTTTTCATTTCATTCATTCATTTGCACGTCCAAATAAAAATAAATTTTGTACAATCTTAAATACAAATATGACAAAAACTCTATGATTCATATTTTCATCGCCAAACATTTTTTCTAGCCTTATTCAAGATATTGGTAATAAAGATGGCATGTTACTTAAATCTCTTTGTATAAAGAAGGCAGACTTTTCTCTCCTTTTCAGAGCTTGGTGGAATTCATCATAAATGTCTCCGAAATGAGTTTTCTGGGGGCCTCAGGTGATCACTCACAACAAAATTGCATTTTTTACACCCTAAGGCAGACCTGCCAACCTCTGGAGTTCAAAAACTGTATTCTTTAGTGTCAAAAGTTGTATTTTACTGACAAAAGTTGTATTCTTGAAAATAAACACGGATTGTTACGCGGATCAATGCCTCTTACAGTTTCTACCTACAGGAAGAATTTTTTTTATTGATCATTGGTTGAATATGCATTATTTCGTCATGACTGATGTGTTCGATGAACCAATAAACATCCCCAAATTGCCGATGTGAGATGCTTGTAGGATACTTTACAGGACAGAATTGACATTTTGCCATTGAAAATGGCGGACGCACACACAAAATATTAATACAAATTAAAATATAATTTTATTTATTTTTTTTTGAAAATCGTATTTTATTAAGGAAAATCGTACTGTCGTATTTGCTTTTAAAAATCGTACTAAATACGACTAAATCTTACTGGTTGGCAGGTCTGCTAAGGATATGAGTTAACAACAAGTAGGTAATCAGTGCAATGCCAAGTCATAACACGACTCTGATGGCTGATCAAATCCTATCTTTATTCTCCAACGTGGACTTCTAATTGCAATGTAAGATTAAGAGACAGAGAAAATGAGAGATACAGAGCACCTGCTACGCGTAAACTCAATAATTCCTGTTTCTTATCAGATTTGTAAGACAACAAACCAAACGACATGGAATATAGCAGAGTAAGCGTTGTAATATAAGCCATAGTTTATGTAATTATGTTGTCTTCTGTTTGTACAAGCGATGGCAGAGAAATCTGAGCCCTGGATTATCAACAGAAGACAATGCTAAAACGCAATAAATTTCACATCTTCTCTCTCCCTCCCCCTCCCCCTCTCTCTCTTTCTCTCTCACTACCCATTTTGTTTTTCCTTTGCCACCTTTTTCTCCATGAACTAGGGTTCTACATGAAATAAACAGAATGTAATATACCGGTAATTGCATTTGTTATTGCTGGTACTGTGAACATGTTGATTTTTAAAATATTTTTTAAAACTATAACGCTGAGTTGATGAGATGGTGGTCTGTCACCACAGAGGAGAGTAAACAAATGAAATGCCTGCTCAACCCCCACCCCCCCTCTCCCCTCCACCAGTATCTTGTGATAATAGTGAGACTTGCCACCTTACAATGACCGTAACCTTAAACAGGCGTTTATCCTTACTTTAATCTCCAAATCCCTCATGCAATATTACAATGTACATGTACGTGTATAAGGGGCCTCAAGACATTTGCACCCACCCCCCCCCCCCCCACTTTCATTCACACAGTACCATTATTATTACACCAAGTATTACAGTACATGTAGGTATTATTTATCATTTATTACTTTTACCGAATGGCAAAGTGTATGAGGGCAATATTCATGTTGAAAACACAACAAAAACAAAAAATAACCCTAAAAAGCAGAAAACGATTGCAGGGAACCGCAACATTGTGTCATATTTCCGATCCCTACTGACTTTATTAGCTGGTCCCATTGGTACATGTACAGAATAGAATCTAATCCAGCATAATAGCTTGAAACATGAATTACGTATTTTTCTTGGCACATACTGTGCCCCGCAGGCGTAACTCATCTGTCCATTTTTACTCTCTCAAAGTGGATTTGTGTCTCATTTCCATTTTATACTTGCCCGGGGAACACCAAGAAACAAACTACTCGACAGCTGCATTAATGAAGGCTGAGGGGGGGGGGGGGGGGGGGGGTTAGTGAGGCCCACTCTTAATGTGGTTTCACTGCGTTGATAGTGATACAACAGTTGAATTAAACATGTTTGCTTAATAGCATTTAGAAGCAGAAAGTAATGAGAACCGGGTCAGTGAAAGTCTGTTAAGAGTGGTTTAGATTCTACTGTGGCCGATTCTTTCAAAAATATTTTGTTTTACCGCTTTTATTAGGCCGTAATGACGCCCTAATTTTGTGGCGTTATTACAATTGTTGGCAGAAATCACTAACAGTAAGATTATGTCCGTTTTTACACATTTTTTTCCCTCCCCAGACAGAGTGTAAAGTCTCCACGAAGAGCGAGATCACCGAAAATGAACCCGTCGAGAATAGGTCCAGACCCAATTGCCAGTATGCAGACCTGCCAACTTCTGGAGTTCAAAAACTGTATTCTTTAATCCCCAAAGTTGTATTTTACTGACAAAAGTTGTATTCTTAAAAATAAACACAAACTTTTACGTGGATTAATTTTTGTATGGGTCATTGGTTGAATATGCATGATTTTGTCACCACTGGTGTGTTCGATGAACCAATGAACATTCCCAAATTGGCGATGTGAGATGCTTGTAGGATACTTTACAGGACAGAATGGGCATTTTGTCATTGAAAATGGCACACACACAATTTTTTTTTTTTTTTTGAAAATCGTAGTCGTATTTGCTTCTAAAAATCGTACAAAATACGACTAAATCGTACTGGTTGGCAGGTCTGCAGTATGCGGAAGTTTGTGCCTTTGATTATCAACAATGGTGACTAGCCGACAGTGGCGTTTTGTTTAATAGCAATACCGATCTCAAACTTTGTTATTGTCTAGATTCAATAATTGTTGACATGCGCATTATGCTATCATCATTCCTAGGATAAATCAGCTTTAAAAACTCTCGTGTACAAATTTACAACTCCTTTTTTTAATGATATATTTTTAGAGATTGCTACATCCCAAGAATCGGTACTGTTGATGAATGTAAATTCAGTGTGGAATGTAATAAAATATCATGGATGAAATACCATATCTTCTCCTTTCCGTCTTTCTTAGAAATTCCCTCAAAACAACATGAAAGATGAATTATGGATCCCTGCATCACATTCTGTCTTGCCACTTAATAAGAGACGAGGGTATTGCAACTGCAACGTGGGCGGCTTAGGGAGCCGTCGGATTTCTTAGGTTACACAGGGGATTAAAGTGATACTGTTATTCATGAGAAGAATGAGATCAAATGAAAACAACACTTGCATTTGTACATGGTGAATACATTTACTGTATTAAATCAGATCACATAGTGGTAAACAGAAAAAAAAGTTCTCAGAAATGGGTTTAAAAAGAATGTTCAAGGCAAGTGCATGCCATACTATTTAATCAAATATCACATGGAAAAGCTAGAAATAGCTACCTACCCATGTCTTCATTACATCACGAACCATACATGTAAGCCATTATTCTACCTCAACAAAAAACGAATGCTTGCTTTATCATCAAGTATATTGAATACAAATTGCTTGTTTTGTGTCTACACATTTACATGTCCGTCAGTATCAACAAGAACATTTCATCAAATTCACTAACCTTTCATTAAAGAGTCTGTATAAATCTTCAAGAACTTAGCTCTTGTAAATATAACATTTTTTAAAACTGTTGTAATTTTAGACAGCTTGAAACATAGAGTATTGAGTTTTTTTGTAAACAAGAAAAGAAAATGTACTGTCACACCTTCTAATAAAAAAACTTCTCATTAATGGATTTTCAATGTTTAAAAACAAATTTGATAAAAATGAAGTAACACCAACAGCCAGAAGGGGAGAGAAATACTTACTCTAATGATGCCTCATGAATGCTCTGAGCAATGACAGTATCTTCAACCTGCATCCATAGTTCTCCTGGACCTGTCACTGACTGCCGCCCGACTTCCATGAAGAAGAAACAATCTGAATGACCGCAACGACGTATGGCTGACAACTGTAAGATAAAGCGGTGGTGATAAATGCAAACTTTAAAATGTTTTCCTACAAACTTGTTTGTTAAATAAGTGTGCTTTCACATTGAATCAAAATAAGACTATTTGAATAATCTCATCAGATAAAAGTACCTTTTTTGTAACACAGTTTCCATAGATTCCTAGCGAGTTTATATTGGGATAAGTGCCCATCAGGTTCATAAAATAATTCCACAAAACTGTGACTGACTTTTGTTCAATGAAGATTTAAATTTACATCTTTTGTAAGTTGACACGCATTTAGAAAATACAAGCCAGTGGACCTATGGCTTTGAATCCTATTCAAGGGAAATGGTAATAAAGAACAGATAGCTTGTCTAAGGGTTTGTACAGTATACTTGTATATGTGCATACCAAGATATTAGTATAGGGATTTATTCACATGGTATGAGAAACATAAGAGACAAATATAATCATATCAAAGACATGCTTCTTTGTTTTATTTCCAAAGTAATCCCAATAATACTTTTAATCTGAATCAAAGCTTTTGAGCCTCAAATCAAATGTCAATATAGTCATCAATTTGTTTGTCTGGTTTTTCCTAACTTGTATGTACAGTACAACAAATTGGCAGTTGTCTTTTCCCCCTCATTTCCAATAATTGATGACAGCTATTTTTATTCCCCAATCTCATTTGGCCGGTTTCTATTTCAGTTATTTTTTATCCTGCATGCCAAGACAGAAACATTGACTAATCCATAGAGATTACAACTATCTGTATAATTCTTACGTTAATATGGAGTGTGTTCACATGGACAAATCTGAGAACATCATCCATGTCTCTGTATAATCTCATTTTATAGGGTATGTTCACACTAAAACAATCTCAGACAGTATTAAACATATCAATTAAAGATAAACTTTAATTCTGGTAAAAAAGAAAATGTTTTCTCACAGAATCAAACGAAACTTACACTGAATGTTCAAGATTACAAATAAATGTCATGTGCCAAACAATTTCAGAAGAAAATATATACTGGCTGAGTAATGAGCATAGAAAGATAAGGAAATCAAGGTGTGGTAGCCCCGACACCATTTGTGCAGTCCCATGTACACCTTTCTGTGTACAGTGCTTGTTACTTTACCAAGACTGAGCCAAATTTATTATGATTTTGATGACTCCAGAACCTTGTAGTAGACACCAATACTTACATGCTACATGATCAACTTTTTCTGATCCATTCCACATCTTTTCTTTCACAATGCAATCGCATTACCAGAACTCACCTTTATCTTTAACTGTCTTTACCAATGAAATGTGTTCACACTGCCAATAACTAAGATCTTTGTAGCAATCCTGCTACTGAACATGCAATAGTGTATACACACTGGCAAACACTCTTCCATGGTAGCAAGCATTATAAATATCTCGAGGAAATTCAAACATGCATCTATCACTGTCTAATGGTGGAGCACATTTGCACTGCCCCAAAACCCTGTCCCATACCCCCATTAAGACATATCTTTTTCTTAACACACTAAGTGCACATTATTCTACTTGCTCTGTATGTTTTTTTCTTTGCCTATCAAAAGGTCGACCAGTTTCTGTCTATCTGCCTGCTTGCCTGGTATTTGTCTCGATTTTTGTCCGCCTGTTTGTCTGCTTGCCCGCCTGGAAGTCTATCTCTCTGTCTACCTCTTTTTTCTCATTACTGCTCGCAAGAAAGCAAGCTTTATCAACAACATATCAGTATTTGAGAGGTCAACTTTAACAGGAAATGCATATCAAATTTACATCTCTATTAAACAGTATTCTAAAAAAATTCATTAATACATTGTATAATGTAACTCTTTAATCCACTGCTATCCAGTCAAAATATCAATTGTTCACATACTGTATCATGGATGAGACAGGGAAATTCCCTAAGAGAAGGCCTCTGGTGGGCAGAAGACTTAAGAATATATTTACATAAAATCTAAAATTCTAAATTTGAGAAATATTTGTCACCCCGTCTTGCCTACAGGGACTCTATAACATTGTTCAGATTAGAGAAATATGCTGCTAAGGTAGTGAGGTCAATGCTAGATGTACAATTAATGATAATCTGAAAGTGTTATGTCCCCCTCCCCCAGCCCCCCCCCCCCCCCCCCTTGAAATCTCAAAATTGGCGGAACTCCAATGATCGGTGGAGGAATCTCATCCCTGACACATAAAATTGATTCTGACAAATGACTTATTTGGGAGATGGTTGCATATTGTGGATGGTAAAATTAGAACACAGTAGTTTTTATGAGAGAAGCTGTTTAGCTTAATTGTTTAATATACACGTGATGAATTATTCCAATGTCTTTATTTACGATGAAAATATATAAGATGAAATGAAATGACATCCTTTTTCCTAAGACTTACTGAGAACTCTAATCCTTCATTTTCTGAGTTCATCCTGACTAAGCTGATGGTTGATGTGGTAAGACAAAGTCTGTAGATGCCACTCAGCTGGCGGCTAGACCCCAGACCTTTAGGCTTCACCGTTACCTGCCAAACATGCTCTGAAAAAAATGTGAGGAAAAGGGGAAAAGAGAGCATATTAATTGCAAGTATTAAAATGAACAAAAACAACAACATTGTTGAGGAAAACAAGGGAAACGCTCTCGGCGGTCTCGCCTGCATAACGCAATTCAATATGATAAACCAGAACGTCAATGACGTAGCGCTCATCCGCATCTCACAACAACAAATATCGTAAATTTTATGTGGTACACTTTTGAACTGGTCAAAAAATAGAAATTTGATGCCCTGGAAGGGACATAATTTCATTTCATTTGCATAAAGTACCATAAATAATCAATGGAGCAAAATCTCACAATTTTGTGTAGAAGTTTATTGTTCCAAATTTAGCTCTACCAGATAAGGCAAAATCGGTCAAGAAATGAGGGAAAAGAAGCAATTTTTGTTATTTTTGGAATAAATTTGCATAAATTACCATAATTAATTAATGGAGAACAATTTCAAAATTCTGTGTAGAAGTTTAGTGTACCAAAGTTAGCTCTACGATATAAAGCAAACCAAATCAAAATCGGTCGAGAAATGGAGAAGCCTTTTTTGTGATTTCGAATAAATTTGCATAAATTAGTATAGATAATGAATTTCACGATTCTGTGTAGAAATTTTAAATCCCCTCCTAGCCCTATCATATGAAAAAATCAGAATCAAAATCGGTTGAAAAATAACGAAGAAGAAGCATTTTGAAAATCTTAATGTTGATGCCACAACAAAGTCTAAGTTTGTTGACCTTAAATGGCCTTTGACCTTAACTTAGTGACCTGAAATTCTACTCACATGATTGGGGAGACTTGATAACCCTATAGTCCAAGTTTCATTGACTAAGAACTTATACTTTCAAGATTATATCAAAAATTCAAAAACTTAACCTTAGGTTAAGTTTTCGATGATGATGCTACAACATAGTCCAAGTCTGTTGACCTTAAATGACCTTTGACCTTGACTTTGTGATCTGAAATTCTACTCACATGATTGGGGATACTTGATTACCCTATAGTCAAAGTTTCATTGACTAAGAACTTATACTTTAAAAATTATACCAAAAGTTCAAAAACTTAACCTAAGGTTAAGTTTTTGATGTTGACGTCGTCGCCGTCGCCGTCGCCGTCGCCGCCGCCGTCACCGGAAAAGCGGCGCCTATGTCTCGCTTTTTGCTACGCAGGCGAGACAAAAACAGTGGTTTTGCAGGTTGTGAAAGAGAGAAACAAAGAGATAAAGAGAGGAAGAGAACAGAAGGAGGAAAGGAGAAAAATAAAGAGAAAGAGTGAAAGAAACATAGGGCAAGAATAGGGAAATAAGAGAAAGTGTAGAAATGAGAGATGACAAATAAGTGTTAAGAATGAGAGGGGGGGGGGGGTATAGAAAGGGAGAGGTGAGAAAAAAGTAACATGAATTATACTGTGGGGAAAAGGAAAGCTATAGACCTCATTCCATGGTACATGTACATTGGCTTTGTGACCATTATATCCAATTCTTCTGGCATGAAATACATCTTTGTGATTCTAAATGAAAAGAACTTCTGGCTGGTTCTGTGCGACTTGTTTTTCTATTTATTTCATTCCAAATGAACAAATATTTTGATATAATCATTTTAAAAACGTTAGCAAACATATAAGCCAATGATGATGCTAACAGTATACATGCACATGTATCTATTTTATGTGTTTAATCCAGTTTCTTTTCTTTCTTTCTTTTTTTCTTTTTCATCTAACCTTCTTTCTGTGGCCAACCATTAGTGAGCATGAAAGAAGCCCCCCCCCCCCCACCTAACCTTCTTTCTGTGGCCAACCATTAGTGAGCATGAAAGAAGCCCCCCCCCCCCCCACCTAACCTTCTTTCTGTGGCCAACCATTAGTGAGCATGAAAGAAGCCCCCCCCCCCCCACCTAACCTTCTTTCTGTGGCCAACCATTAGTGAGCATGAAAGAAGCCCCCCCCCCCCACCTAACCTTCTTTCTGTGGCCAACCATTAGTGAGCATGAAAGAAGCCCCCCCCCCCCCACCTAACCTTCTTTCTGTGGTTTACCATTAGTGAGCATGAAAGAAGCCCCCCCCCCCCCCCACAAAAAATAAAATAAAAAAATACATATAGTCTGATCATGAACTTTGCCCATATATGCACATGTAACAGAATCTTACCGAGAAGCAAACACTGCAGATCTCATGAAGAGGTAAAGGAAGAGCAATGCAATCTCTTAACACAGTAACTTGACTATAAGTAAATATACTCAGCTGCATCAGGCCAGCACTTTATTTTTCATGTCCCAGCACCACCGTATCTTAGATTTATTTCCCATTTCATTTTGTTTTTAAAGAGGTTACTTTTGGCCGTTGTTCTTTCTTCCGAAAAGAGGGGTCTAAAGTTTTCTGTTTGCAGATCAAAATCACTTTTCAAAGATGTAATTTGAACTAGGCATCTCAATTTAATTTGCTTAAAATAAATGTAGCTACATTTAAAGAGAGATGTGGTTTTTTCATGGATAAACATAAATCTGCGAACACGATTGTTTCACAAAATACAGCCTCTACAAGTTTTTGTAGTTTGATTTTCTATTCAACGTACATGTAGGACCGATGGGGACTGATAACAGCTGGTCAGACATGGATGATAAGGATAACGAGAAATGTAAATATACTAAAAGAAAAAAGTGGTCCTACTCAAACGAATCTGCCAATTGTAAAATCTTCTTCATTGTTAGGGGGGGGGGGGGGAAGGCTACCTACTCAGATAACATCACATCAAAGGCCTGGAATTATTGGCTGGTTTACAGCTGTTTTGTCTATTTCTATATGGTCTACACCTAGCCAGTCTACTATCCACATGGTCCAATAATCATTTTGTCTACTTTAATAATTTGGTCTAATTTCTAATAAGTCTACTACCCATTTGGCCTATGACTCATTTAGTCTAATTGTCAGTCGGTCTAATTCCCAGTTTGTCTAATGCTCCTTTTGTCTCCCATCAATAAGGTCTAATAATCATTCGATGATTATTATTTGTTATGATTAAATGATTATTGGCTATGGATAGTAGATAAAATGGGCATTAGACAAACTGAGAATTGGACCAAATATATGATAGACCAAATGGGTAGTAGACCAAATGACTATTAGCCTTAATGGTAACATCAGACCGAATGATATGTAGACAAAATAATTATTGGACAAATAATTATCAACAACATTTATCAACAACTAATTTTTCATGGCTGATTCAATCTATAATGAGATTTTACATACCCAGAGGCTCTTGGGGTGAACAGTCATAAATCTGATATATATATTCAAAAAATGGAAATACACGAGAACAGGATATGTTCACAAGCACTAGATGGTGACCAGAACCCTGACCCTTCTAGTAACCCCAACACCCACTGAACCACATTAGCTGACAGGGCACAATATCACACCAACCCTACCGAATGCAGGTACAGGTTTGCCATCTCCTCCTGCCCTCTGCTGCTCCAACAGCACCCTTAACCACTCCTGCTTCGACTCCTCATCATCCGCAACCAGAGAAAAGCAGTCGTCTCTCGTATAGAGGGCGATGGCATGCTTGTGTTTGGCGTCGGACTTCTTGTTGATGTTAAAGCAGGCAGAGAGAGGGACGGTCCTTTTGGCTTCTCCACCCAGTCTAAACTTCTTCTCGTTGTCATAGTACTCGAGTCGTGATGGGCCTGTGATACTCTCAGAGCGCAGCACAAAGTACTTCTTCCGCATAGTCTACAGAGGGCAAAATTAAGAGGTAAAACATTATTGCAACTTTGCAAGGGTACATGTGTAATATTAGTATAACTACAAATACACGAGAAGACTCTGAATAGATTTGATAGAGCATGATTTTAAAAACATGCATTGGTTGCTAGGCAGGTTTGTATCACAGAGATGGAGGGATTACCTTTCTGTCTTGAAGGATCGTGTCAAACGAATTCTCCTCAGATTGATTAATTAAGGCCGCAAAAAACCCTCTTTACGGATTTAGTGTGGATTGATATGAAATAATCATAGGTATTACACTTCATAAGATATCCAGATATGGAATTACTTTATTCCTTTATACTTTTGAAATTCCCTCCCTCCCTCCCTCCCTCACTATCTCCCTCCCTCCCTCCCTCTATCTCCCTCCCTCCCCTCCCTATCTCCCTCCCCTCCCTATCTCCCTCCCTCCCTATCTCCCTCCCTCCCTATCTCCCTCCTTCTCCCTCTATCTCTCTCCCTCCCTCCTTCTCCCTTTATCTATCTCCCTCCCTCCCTCCTTCTCCCTCTCTCTCCCTCCCTCCCTCCCTATCTCCATGTGTGTTTTCTCTCTCTCTGATCTCAAGGTGCAAGGACAACAAAATAGTGTCTTCCCAAATCATGACATATTTGTATTCCAAACAGTGTTGAGAATTATAATAGATGTACATCTCCATAAGATCTTCCCCATCTTTCAAGCTTTCAACACTACATACACATAGGACCACAAATCTATTAACTGTAATCTGTAAACAATATTTAGGAATGCTTCACCTTTATTTCCTACATGTACATGTATGTATAAATGAAAGTGAAAGTGAATTTGGTGAAATTCTGATCTTTACCATGTCATTCTTAAAAGAGATGTGAAACCTGAAACATAATACATTTAAAAACTTAGTAAATGCTATACCAAGGGTAATTTGTACAATTAAAGATAACTACATGTATATTATTTAGCATTATAACAAAACAAAGGTAAAGACAACTTAGAATAACTAATTGATTATAGTGATAGTGATATGATATAAATGCTGTTTTTTAATAATAATACTACTACTAATAATAATAGCCTAATAGTCCACTCCAAATTTTATTAAACAGAAACGGAAATTCTTTTTGCTCAATTGATCGTGAGCCCGGCAGCCACTAATGGTAATTTACTCAATATCACCTCTGACAATGACCAAATAATCTTTAAATATTCACATGTGCAGCCAGTATTAGAACAGAAAATGAAGTTGGAAACAGTACATGTATGTACTTTCATGTGCCTACAATTGTACATGTACATGTACATGGAGGTGAGCCATGGAGACCAACACATACCAACTCTGGCGAGATAAATTTAAAAATCCAGCCAAAGAAAAACGAAAAAGGGAAGTACAAGATGGGGTTACTTGAGGACAGATTCTGGGTGAAAATGAAGGGCGAGGGGTCATGAATTCGAGGTCAAAAGTCATGAGGCAAGGTAGAAGAAGTTTATAGACAGAACACACTTGGGAGGCCTTGAGCGTGCATTGTGGTGGGTCCTAGGCTACTAGCTGCTGCATACATGTAGGCTGGTCTCCAGGTCTTACATTTTATATTCATCACTTTATCCAGAGCTTACTTAGAAATATGCATACCAGTACTAGTAAAAGAAAACAAAAAACTACAATAAACTTACAAACTTTAACCTCTTTCTTTAATCATTTTCATAACATTCACTGCCAAACAGGGCCAGTTCTGGACTTGAGGTGCATTCATATTTAATGTGCAACGTACAGTCCATGCCAATACTGGACAATGAGGAAAGTAGTTTGTGGGGATGCATGGAAACCATATCTACAGATGTGCATTTAGTTAAGTTCAGATCAATACATGTTTAATTTGTAGAGCATCATTACCATGGCATGAATTGGATTCCTGTTGAAAATGAACATCATTTTTCTGCTTCCAATCATCTTACCGGTACTTTAAATGTGTTTTTTTCTAAATATTCTAAGAAAAATGCATTATCAATTTAACTACTTTAAATCGATGCTCCCTACATACACTCATAGCAATATAAATTGCAGTCCATTATGTAGTTTATGCAACTACATGGACTTCCATGTAGGTTCCTTCAGATGAAGAAAAAAAAAACGTGTGCAGTAATATGACACTGGCAAAACACTTGGTTGGGAACCTCACCATATGAAATACAGGTCATTTACATTGCAGAAAAACACAGTTTTTTTTAAAATACCTTATTAATACAATACTAAAAACCAATATTGCTTGCTTATTCTGTTTTTTGGGTGAGTTGTGTGCAAGCTTAAAAATACTACAATCCAGATGTTGTTTTTTTAAAATGAGTTTTCGTTGTGTTTATGGGTAGTTGCTTAGCAACTTCCGACAAATCTCCAAAATATGAGAAAAACAGAAAGTTTTTGCTTGCAGTGTAAATGCAGCTTAACACCTTTTTTAACCATTTTTTCTGCACACATGTACATGTAGTCGTACAACTTGTGTCAAGATAAATGATTGTAAACAAGTTTTATCACACCACAAATTTGAGGCAATTTGAAACATTGTGCCATAGCAAGTTATTGGGTAACAAAATTATTACCTAAAGCATAACTTTTGTAATTTGTATAGCTAATCTATAGGCCTAAGTCAGTCACAAACAAGGTCCTGTATATCAAAGCCGCATTATTTCTAGGGGTGAACATTTAAAAGATTGTGAAGTAAATATGATTTTAAAAATAAAATGTGCAAAGCGAGACTTGTTATCCATGCCACAAGGGCTTTGATTTTTATACCCCGATAGAATAGAATCAATGGCTTTTAATTGCTTTAATATCTAAATTTAAAGATAATGTCTCAATGCTATCAAAGCAAAATCTTTCACAAAAAGAAATGTCAGCCTGCGTACAGGTATATGTAATTTTAATAGTAATCAAGTACCCGATTAATTCCATACAATGTATAATTGCGTATAGTATATCACTATTTCCTCCATCCCCACCTTCCCATGAGGAATGAAATTCCTACCCCTTAGTTTGTTTGTTTGTTAGTCGTTTTCCTCATTATCTGAACTCCTAAACCTCAACCACACATCTTCTCTCAGTACAAGTAGGCTTATTTTACACCTTCTCTTCTTTTCCTTGTCTTGTTATCTCCTAAACTTGCTGATGTATGCTTCATCTATTTTCATTCCTTGTACATCTGTCCACTCTTTCCTCGGACCTTTACAAACTGTTCTCTCACTTCAAGCCTGCTTCAAATTTCATCTATTCTTGATCAATTCTCTTTGCATTGGTCAATTTTCATGTGTATATAACACTCTCTAATTTTGTATTTGAATAGTTATTGTTGCAGTTGTTATCATAATCAATTATTATCATTTTTGTTTTGTTTACTGCCAAACCACTTCTTGGACCTCTTAAATGAATTGATATATGATGGAGATATCCACTATTGAATACAAAAATAGCTCAAACAAAAGCATAAAAATGAGTGAAAAATTAGAGAAAGTTCAAGGAAATATGTACAGTACATGTAGATGGAGGCAAAAAACATTACTTTAAAGCTGTGCCGGTAAAAAGCACAATTGGCAACTCTGATTTACCCTGTGAGCACCTCTCACATTTTGTCCAATACTACAAATTTCATAGATTGCAATTTACTCAGAAATCAGAAGCAAATATTTCCATGCTATTATCACACCAACCCCTCCAGGAAATAGATTGATTCCCTCATCTACAACCAAGATAATGGATTCCTTTATCATACTCAATACCAAACAAATTGGAGAGGTCCTTGCAAGGGAATTCACAGTTTCTGAGTATAAATTTGATCAATAATAACAGAAGCTGGCTTTTAGGTCCACACTAAGATAGCAATCGACACTCTTAGGGCGCGTTCATGCTTGATTTTGACGGCCAGAATCAGGCATCTGTTACGCGTTTAGTTTAAAACACGGTTGCGTCTTAGCTCACTTTTGTAGAATCACCGAAAAACGGCGATCACGATCGCCGATCGTAAACTCACAAAAGATGCGTTTACAATTTGTAAACGCGTTTAAATGGGGTCAACGCACTGACCTCTAGTGGGTCTACGTAGCATGCACAGTGAAGGTTTGCGAATCCAGCTGGAAGACCAATTAAGGCCACACACTGAGAATTGCCTGGGGGAGCCAGAGAAGTAAGCATGAACACTACATCGTGGAACTGCGATCACGATGAGCGTTTACGATGAGCGTTTCAGATCGCTCATTCTGCCTTCAAAATTTAAGCATGAACGCAGCCTTAGTCACTCAAGATGAAAGGGATATCAATCTTAAAGCTATCTCTATTTGCACCTGTCTCTCTAGCTCTCTCTCTCTCTCTCTCTCTCTCTCTCTTCCCTCCCCTCTATCTCTTTCTCTCTCTCTCTCTCTTTCCCTCTCTCTCTCTCTCTCTACCTATCTCTGGAAAGTCAGCTAGCAACAAACAAAAACACCAAATCAAACCTAATTTGCAGCTAATACTGCTATAAGGCCTATACCTGTCACAATCTGCACAAAAGGGAGAAAGAATCAAAGAAAATAAAGAGGCAATTTTCTCTTTCCAATACACAAATACTACATCTTAACTTCTGCAATACCCCAATGTTTACCCTCTTTCCCTCCCTTAATCTAATCCCACTACCTCATCTTCACCCCATCCATGATCATCTTTTCTTCCCTCAATACAACTGTAAATACTGGCCTAGAGAGAGTATTAAGTAGAAAGCAGCCGAGCACCCTGTATAAGTAGGGCCACACACGGAAAGGATGCGCAAGGAAGGAACTACAATGAACTATTGGTTGTGAAATGAACCCCGGTGGCCGAAGGAAGTCAAGTTCAACAAGTCATTAAAATTCAGTGCGGGGTTTGCGCCCGGCGGCTGGGTATCTTCTTTCAGGCCAATTGAGAACCTGAACCGAAGGGCCGGCCGCTTTCAGATATTCATTGCTTACCACGTGCAGGGCAATGGCTGGACTTTACCTGGTGTCTTGCATAGATCTAGAGAAGATTGTGCAAACATGCTCACGTATATTCAATGCAAGGCTCTGATATGAATAAGATCTAAGAGATAGAAAGATAGATATAGAGAGAGAAAGCTAGAAATAGAAAGAGAGAGAGAGAGAGAGAAAGAAAGAGATAAAAGAGAGAGACTAAGACAGAGAAAAAAACAGAGAAAGACAGTGAATAAGAGTGAGAGCGAGAGAGAGAATGCAAGGGGTAGAAAGGGAGAAAAATAGAAGGACCAGGCAAAACATAAATCTATTCCTTCAAATTGTTCATTAATAAGAAAACATACATGTATTCCTTCAAATTGTTCATTGATAAGAAAACTTAGAAATGCACAGGAGAGAGGAAGGGAAAAAGAGAGTTTAAAATAGGAAAGAGAGATAAAGAAATAATTCAGATTTTGTTTCTTTGTTGACCCATATCCCTTTAAAAGAAGTTGTTGTCATTTAAAAAGATTACACTAGTGTATCTGCTTTACATAATTTTCTCAGGAGGTTGGATATTTGTACGTTGAAAGCCCTTTAAATTTTCCTAGAAAATATAATGATCAATATCTTTTCCAGGGTAGATTGATGCCATTCAATCATAATAACACCAGCGAAATAGCTAGAGGCTTACTTAAACACCTACTCAACGTGTCCTACTTTTAAGATGTTTGGCAATTAACTTTCTTGGTACCACATACATGTACACTGTAGGATACATTATATGTAAAATGTACATGTACAGTTGTAGCTCAAAAAGTTCAGAAGTTCATTTTGTAAATTTGTAAAAGTTAGCCCAATAAAAATAATTCAAAGGAGGCAAATTTATCTTTTACAACACATAATGAAACTTGAAATTTATTAACAAACAATTAGTGTTAGCTTGAAAGTTGAAACTGTCTGATATGCTTTTCTTGTATGGGCAGTTTAATTCTTTCTATTTTCACTCAAAACCTAATAATTGGCTTGCAATCCTTGCATATGTTGAAACACCAGTAATTGACTATTAAAGGTACTATGTCCCTTTTGCAGCCAACCTCAAATGCTGTAGAACTTTGCAGGAATTATGAATATGTCATGTATGTCCTATCTGTGAAATTTAAACGTTAGCAGTGTCCTCATATTCAAATTATGCAAGGAAACCCGTTTATTTGCTAGACTTCACTGTCAGACACTATTGAGTGACTGACTTGCTTTTTTTCTTCTTTGGTAATAACATACATGAAAAGAGTTGTAAAGGGTACATCATTTGTCTACATCAATAACCCACTTCTTGTGATGGCCAAGATTAAACTGATTGAATCTTTGCGCAGCATAAAACGTATAACCATTCGGTATAATTGTCTGAAAATCAAGACTATTACTTTTGGGCTCTATAGCCCTACAGTCGATTTGACAACTAATAGTCGTTATTTTCCCACTTGAAGACATTTTCAAGCCCCACCTTTTTTAGGGAAGTTCTAAATTAGTATTATCTTTCAAATGCAGTTGGAATTTAATTTTTTCATTTTTCGGGCCTGCAAATGGGACATAGTACCTTTAAGATGCTTGCCCAATCTGCCTGATAATGTCTTCATTTGTCCTTGTTCCTCTGAGAATGCTGGCTACTTGTCTCACGTAATTGCATGTCATTGGCTACATCATGTAAAGGGTAAGTGCTGATCTGAAGCAAGATGATGAGATGCTATAAAGATGTAAAACCTTCAAGCTGCTCTCATCCTTCCTTCCGTCCTTCCCCCATCCATTCCAATCCTCCCACTTGGACACATTAGCAAGAGACTAATTACCTACATAGTTCTTCTTTGGCCTATTCATAGCTTGCTAGCTCCCCCTGATAAATCATTAGTTGTTTCTCGAGAGGATGCTGTGGACGTGTCAACAACATGTTTACCAGCCGTGGTATTCAGACAATCTCAGCAGACGACACAGACACTGTGATAAATCCTGTTCATTAGTGTACCATCAGATTGAAAGAGGAAAACATCAACATTAAACAGAAAGAAGAGAGAGGTCTTTACTCCTTGCATCTCCAGAAGTGTGAATGATTAAATTGAGTTCTGGTTTTGCAAGGACTGCAATCACGGTGGTGTGAGGAAAAAAAAGCTGTCTGGTGGCAATTAAGGGAAAGGTTGTACATGTACAATGTATGTACATGTATAATTACATGTACAACGAATGTGTGTATTAAAACTATGAGGTTTGGAACCATTAAAAGATAGATAATTGACTCAATCTTAAAAGTCAGATGCACAGCACACAGAAATGTTTACCGTACATGTATATGGGACTACATACAAATGTACACAATACATGTGAATGCCATGACAAATGATAAAAAAGTGAAACCTTCGGTGTCCTGAACAGAAAAATCCTGTTCGAGTATAAGAGTGTTAAAAACAAACTAAATTTAGCCGTTTTTCCAATCTGTTTTTTCCCAGTGTGAGGTTTATTCTGAATTCAAAATCTACTAGTACTTGAAAGTTTGTTGTTTTTTTTTTTCGGAGGGGGGATATAAATCTTGTTTACAGTGTGCAGGGTGGATTAAAAATGATAACAATAACAAGGGAAAAGGTGATTCTACAGAATTGGTACTTCCTGCAGCATGTCTTTATAACAGAAGAACAAAAAAGTGTCTGCTGAGAGAACTTTGGAATTCTGGGGTTATTTCAGTCAGGTGGATATATACACATGTACATGCAGCTATAATGTAAACTGTTCTTTTTTTCTTTTATGCATCCCTTGCATAAGACAAATTACGTACCACAAAGCATTGTCCTATGGACATTTTAGATTTTAAAATTCATTAATTGTATATCTCAGTATTGAAAAATAACACCATAAAAGGACCGAAGAAAGTGAGAGGGGCACATATACATGCAGGCCTTCCACTTCCATCCGTGAAGAAGACAAAAGTCTGATTTGATTTCAGCAGTAATTGCAAATATAGGTCTAGTAAATTTTGACAAATCTAATTTTGCTGGATACCCAAACAAGAATTTCAAATGCAGAGCATGTATGATAAATATTTGCCCCAAAGTTCCTGCTTCCAGATACCCTACTAGAGTATACGTACACCACATGTATTGACATAGTATACAGCGCAGTGTGATGAGCAGAATCTAATCTACATGAATGATGAAACTCTTGTAAATGTAATTCACAGCCAAGAATAGATACTATACATGTAGATGTGTAGTACTGTATGCAGCTTCATATCACAAACTGACAGGTGTATTCAGTGATTAAACTTGTGTCTAAGATTCTTGAATATTAGGCCTATTCAGTTTGTATCCGATGAAGATTGCACATCCACGCTAGAGTGGGTTAAATTATAAAAAAAGAATCAATCTCACTCATAAACATCTAATAGTTATTTATTAAATACAAACATTATAGAATAGACTAGTTTACTAACAAATTCAAACTTTATGCATATTTACAAAAAATGGACAACCTTACATCTTGCCTCATGCTTGCCCAACATATCAACAAGTAATGTATGCAGACTGGATTCCTAGTATTGTATTTCATTCATCAATGACAGGTTAATGAAATAATTTGTCACTAGGTCCCCAGGATACAAACATCCATAAATTTGAATACCTCAGTAAACCAGTCTATTTCGGGGCAATTTAGGAGAAAAGTTTTGGCCTTGCTTTTATACAGTCCTAATTATACCCAGTCATCAAGCTAGATATCACTTGATACAGACAGGATTACGGTGAAGATGAATATCGGCGCTCAATGTTTTTTGTCAACAGATGATTAAACATATGTAATGAGTGAGTGACTGAGGCACTTACCTTGTAGACCTATGATTGGACAGGCATGATTTTTGCACAAACTCTACCCACTTCGGGCACATTTACCAGGAATTTAAAAAACCTGACTTTAGAAAACCTTTTCTAAATGTTGGTTTGGCTAGGCCTATTGCTTCAATGTTACACTTCACAGTACACTTTTACAGTGTAGGTCAAGCTTTGTTAAACCTACATGTAGTGTACTCAGAGTTCATCTTAAGGTCAAATGTATTATATTTAAGTTCATGCTGTATGAGTTCATTGCCCTACATGTACATGTACATATATGTAAATAACAGCAATGCAATGCTTTTATGATAGAACCTACGGGCTACATAATGAAAAGTATGCTGAATACATGTTCAACATGTACTGTAATCTAAAATTCTCTATATTAGTTCTGTTGTACAAATACAACAAAACTAACCCCAAATTGTAACAATTACAATACATACAATGCATTTCTGGAGTCTAACAACACATTTCTTACAATGTATTATACAAAAGTCAGCCCCCCCCCCCCCATCAACTACGGACTAAATCAAATCTTACCTTAAGCTTGCGCAGATAACCAGATTTCTCAATATCCCCTATGGACAGTTCAACTCCACATGGAATGGGGACGTTTTCCTTCTGTGATGACATCTCTTATCTTAGCTGCTGATCCTCTGGCCAGAGAGAAAGAGAGCAGAAAGGATGTCCACTAAGCCTCCCTCGTCCCTACGTGATTCCTAAGAGTCCTTAAATAACAGCTCTGCTAGAATACAGAAGATATTGTTGTTTTGCCAGCCGCTGAAGATGAAGGATCCGCCAGAAATACATCCACCTTGAGAGTGTGTTCACATCTTGTCTAGATGGCAATCAACGCACTTGGTCTGTAAGAAAAAACAAATAAACAGAAGGAATTATAACTATGTACGAGCCTCCGAGGGACAAGAGAGTTAAAGAAAGAGATAATTATGTGAGGTCATACAAGCATAAGTATTATAAATGCATAATGTAATTCGGAAAAACACAGATAATAATGTCAAAAACTATTTGCTTACTCTGGCCACCACATTCTTTAATACTTGGCCTACAAGAGAGTTAGAGAAAGAGATAATAACGTGAGGTCATACAAGCATAAGTATTCTAAATGCATAATGTAATTCAGAAAAACACAGATAAAAAAGTCAAAAACTATTTGCTTACTCTGGCCACCACAATTTTTGATAATTGGCCTCCAAGAGAATTAAAGAAAGAGATAATTATGTGAGGTCATTCTAAATGCATAATGTAATTCAGAAAAACTCAGATAACAAAGTCAAGAGCTATTTGCTTCCTCTTGGCCACCACATTCTTTAATACTTGGTATGAGAAAATGGCATCAAGAATATTGGGTGAGGCATTTTATGTAGGGGTTGTGAACCCACTGAACTTGAGTCAATTTTCATGCTTCACTTCAAAGTGAAGTTTAAGGTAACCTTGTTCAGGTAATGTAGGAAAACATGACATTTCGAAGTATCTAAGCAAACTAATTAACAATTTGACCAAATCATTTAAATCAAAGAGTTTGTTTTTTACTAGAGGCCCCGAAAGTAGGGTATCGTATACCCAGACTAGACCTGAAAAGCAACCCCTATCACAATGTAACCGTTTCTCAGAAGCACAGTTACCAGACTTATCGAGTATACTGGATGTCTGAAAAGTGGGCCATATGCGCATGTGTCACATTTATAATTTACATGTATACACTAATGCTAAAGCCTTGAAACATGTCTAAAGAACAGAAAAGACGAGTATACCCAGAAAAACCCACCTCTACAGAGGGTGTATGCCACAGTATGTCACTTACTTTTGAAATCATTTATTTAAGAGAAATCCAACTATGATAGCAAACTACTCTATAGGAAAGCAGAAAAATTAGGGAGGTAGACTCGTGACCAGTTGAATGAAATTAGAAATTACGAAAAAATAATGAAATCTTTTAAGTTGTAGTCGCTATACATTAACATGTAGGTATTGGCCCCACAAATTGGCTGAATCGTCTTTATAAAGGGAGACAACTTTCCCATTTGTTCCAACATGCAAAATGACTAAAAGTTATTTCAAATCAGAAGGACTCAGTAGGGTTTTTTCTCAATAATATATTTTGAGAAGGGCCTCAAGGAGAGGAGGGCAGAGGCACCTAATGAAATATTTTGTACACGATAAGCTGGAAAATTAGCCGAGATCACATTATATTGCACTGATCAAAATGCCAATTTGAGATTCGCATAGACTAATAGTGATCTCATATTTCAAACATTCATACATGTAGTTATCCATCCGATTTTTCAAAACTTTCAGCATTCTGTTCAATCATCTTCTTCTTCTTTCATACAAATGCACTTTAATACTACATTTGGTGGATTGCCATTAAAATTTATTATGTTTACAGTTCTCATATTTTCAGATCAATTGTCAGATCGATTTTCCCACCCCCTCTTTTTTCTCTCCCCTCCCCCCTCCCCCCCCCCCCCTCTCTCTCTCTCTCTCTCTCTCTCTCTACCTCTTGTTCTTCTAATTTTCTGATATCAATAGGGGGATTATGTTTGCAAAATTGCAATCAATCCCTCCCCCTCTTCCTTTTCTCCTCCTCTCTCTCTCTCTCTCTCAATTTCATTCCTTTTCTCTAACATTTTTACAGCTTACATCCATCCAAGACATTTCTGTTCTTCTTTTTCTTTCTCTCTGTTTACTCTGTTAAGATGGAGTAGTTCTGAGCCCATCCATGGGTACCCACTGAGGTTTTTCGCTAAGTGCTTGATACTATTTTTGTGCCAGAAAGAAAGAAAATAAATAAGTGTGAGAAAGATGGAGACAAGCTTCAAATGCAATCTCACTAAGTGCATCATCCTGGTAACAGTATAAACCATCTCCCTCTAGGGGACCAAGACATATACATGTAAACCCAACAAACAGTATACAGATAGCTAGGGGGTGAACTGAAAAGTCATGTACTAACCAATATTCTCTTTACAAAATAACAACACTAATATTAAGAGTACTGCGTGAGTTCAATCAAAACCAGGAAAGTTTGGATGGCAGAGCTAGGTCAGACTCAGATGAATAAAAGCTTCTACATTGTAGCACTTGGCGATTTCCAATCACAAGCACAACAAACATTGTAGAGTGCTAAACGTGAATCAAAGAAGCAACAGCTATGGTGAATAAAAACAAATATCAATACAAAATATATCCAACTGCTTGTTATGGTTTAATCTATTGTATTCATTTGCCTGTTTTCCCCCAATTTTACAAAGAAATGCCCAGTACCAATTTTCCAAATTATGAAATATCAAAAGCCTAGGTAAACTGGCTTAAAATGAAGTATTCTTTGACATACAATGTAGGAATACAAGAAATGAGAAATATCTATGAAATCACTTTCACCAACCCTTCTCTTTAAATGAAAGAGAAAAGCTTTTTTTTCCCTTTCTTTCTTTTCTTTTATCATCCTTAACATAGCTGATGTAACTGATGCCTTGAAAGAGAAGTATTCCATCCGTGTGCAAGAAGAATGCAGGATACCGCGGTAATAAAACCAAAAAGAGGTTACCATTTTGCTTTCCCTCATCTCTCTCATCAGGTTGAGGAGATGGGGAAGCCTTCTTGATTTCAGGCTGCCATTGGCCTGAATGTTTTGGTCTTATTTGGTATCAATTCAGATTCTATTTGAATGTACATGGTTTCATTTCAGCCCAGTGTGTCTATCAGATCTTCCTGTAGTGCTGGCAAGGACCTCCTCTTGGACAAAACAGCATTACACGTACATGATATTGCAAAAGGAACTTTGCTCATTTCACAAATCAGGGATGCCAGTGGCGATTGTCTCTAGGGCCAGAAAAAATTTGATCTCCAAATCTCCAACTCTGAAATGCTGATATGCACTCAAACACAATGGCCCGAATTCACAAAGGAGGTTTGTCGACAAACCTCCTTTTGTTTCGCCAAACCTCCTTTTGTTCTTTACAAACCAGGTTTGTAAAATAACGCGTACAAACGCGTCATATCACGTACGAAAACCAAGGTTTGTTGATAAAACCTCCTTTGTAAATTCTGGCATCTGTCTATAAAAATCAAAGACAAGTGACATATCATGTACACTGTAGGAAGAAAAGTTCCTACATGTTTATTGATGGATGCATATTCAGCACAGACAATAATAAATGATGCTCTTATTAAGGCTGCGACGGGTAGTCGAATGCTGGAGTACCCGCACGGTTGACAACTACTTGGGTACGATTTCTCGTACCCGAATATTCGGCCGCAAAAAAAAAAAAAAAAAAAAAAAAAACTGTCCAGGCACCCCGTGCCAGGGAGAGCGGCGGCCGATGGCATTATACCGTCGGTAAAAATGTTTCCCAACTCAAGCACTGTCAAACTCACTACTCAGAAACTGGGACCAAATGTCCAGATTTCTGTTTGGACTCGGGAGGACAATGAATTATTCTGCCATCTTTGGTTTTTTAAACAGCTTTGTTTACTGTTATTATTATTATTAAATCGTCACTTTCAACTGCAACTCGAAGTAAAATTGCATGCGTTTTCGGTGATACTGGGATACTGCACCAATGGTATGGTGGTGGCAAACCAAAAAAAAATCCAAAAAATCAAAAAATTCAAAAAAATTCAAAAAAATTCAAAAAAATTATAAAAAAATCAAAAAAATTATAAAAAAAACATGGCGTCCGAATATTTGAGTATTCGCTTGTAAGCCTGGGAGTGTACTCGGGTACCTCATTGCACTGTTGTGCACAGCATTAGCTCTTATAATGTACATCTTCCAATATCATTAACCTTTTTAGCAATTTCACATCCAAAAGAGACTGGCGAGCAGCAAATGTAGCTCTACTTTTATAGTAATGTATTTCACAAAAATTGTCTACAAAAACAAATGCCCACTTCAAATTACAAATCAGCTCCCTTTGTCTTTCCTAGCTTTGACACCTTTCCATTTCTTTAAGTGAATTCATTCTGTCAACTCCTATGTCGAGTATTAAACAAGCCCTGCAGTAGCCCCATCTCTAAATGACCTTAAGTGGCCAAATGGCGGCCTGGCCAGCTATTACATGTATGTGGCCAGGCAGGCAGCTCAATCAATAACATCTCCTTAATTTCCACAAAGCAGTTAAAGTGCTAATAACCTGATGTCGAGCAGATAGCAATTAAATGTAATATATGTAAATAGCCTTGTTAAGTAGGCCACTGGGGATTGCGGTAAGCTCAAGATGGTAAACAACAAATCTAGGCATGCAGCTCAAGTTAGGTTCACATGGCAGTCTGGTTTGTGACAACATTAACTTGTACAGTACTTACATGTAGGGACTGTGTAGACACACTCATGGTTTTACTTGAAGTTATAAACAACAATAGATCTTCATGTTTAAGCATAATGACTACGAGCAGGAGGGGTGCAGAGGTCCTCACTCAAAGTTATGTGCCGTGTGAACCCTGTTGTCATTGTTTTTAGTGGATCATTATTTTAACTTTGAGGTTTTGCAAACTCAACTTCAAACTACGACGGTCCTGTGAGAACATATCTGCTGGCTGCGTGCTAGCATAGACGTACCATCACGTCTATGGTGCTAGCTAGGGAAGGAATTGTGGAATAGGTGTGGGCTCATGTAGATCAATACAATCACTTATGTGGATTGAAAACAGGCAACACTTTACAAAAACTGTACAGTAGGGCAATACAGACATGTACACAAATATTACACATACGTCTTGTGTAATCACATGCAAGGAATAACAAGGCCTGTCTCACTTCCATGGTTTTACCTTCTCTTCTTGATAATATCATGGAATCTGCAATAGGGACACCCAAAAATTAAAATGAATGCACCTGCTT